ATTTCTAAACATCAAAATATTTATTAAAACCCATAACAATAATTATTGATTATTAATATTCATATTTCAAGTTTTGCGAACGATGAAATGCATGAAATTTGTGTAAAATTCATCGACGAATTACAGTGAGAAATAAAATTCATCTGATAATTACCTTACAACCATTCTTAGGAACAATTATTATCAATTAATAACACAGATTTTCTTTTCTTGTCTCAGTAAAGATTCCTCACGCACTCGATCACCATTAGAACTCCGATGATGCATAGAATATCTTGAATCACGGGGTCAGTGGAACATCCGGTAGTTCTCACCATTCGTTCCGACAATTCTCCACGGATTTTTCACTGATTGAATTATCCCCCATTTTTTATAATTATCACGAGTTGAAATTCCTCAAAAAATGATTTATTTCAATTCAAATCACCTGATCTAATTAAAAATATGAGAGGGTGAGAGTATTCAGTAGAAAATTAGTCATTCTAGGGGTGAGTCCGGGGAAGAGAGGGGGGGGGGGGATATTGAAAAACGAATGAAGTGGAACAATGTGGAGAAGAAAATTCAGAGACACAAGTAGAGGAGCCCGGACTCATTACTCGCGACGTGCAACGCGAAGTATTTGGAACGTTCCATTGGCCGAGTCTCTGGGATACACATGTATGCACTGAGTACATCAGCGCAAGCTGTAAAATCATGTGCATGTGGGGGAGAGCCACTTGGTTCATGTCCCATAATTTGCGGCGTGTGTAATGTGGTCAAAAAGCCGTATATATGCCGTGGAAATCGTTGAGTTCCTCCCAAGAAATTCCAGTGGTTCAATTGGTGCAACGATTCTCCAATATCGATTAATGGGATTGAGAGAAAGAGAGAGAGTGAGAGAGAGATATTGAGAAAGAAAGGAAAAGAAAGAGAAAACAAGAGAAAGAGAGGGAAAGAGATGGACTGTCAAGAATTTGGGGAAAATTATGTAGGTTTTTAGTAGAATTAAGAAATTATGGGTTTTATTCATAATTTGGGTAAAAAAATGGTAAGAAATAGAATGGGACTTGGGAGCCACTGGATCTGTAAAAAAAATGTGGCTGAAGTATTTGGAAATGAGATTATCCGGGTGAAAGTGACTCAAGGCTGTAGGACAAGAGGAACTAGAAGGAATCAATGACTAATACTGTGGTCTGTGGTCGACATCACTCTTTCATTTTTCAAAATGCCGAGTGGATAGGAGAAAGTGAAGGAAGGGATCCGCCCACATGTGCAAAATCAATTCACGTCACGAAAATTTCTAATTGGAATTTTTAGAGGTGAAAATTTCCACCCAACGAATGGGTCACGGAGAATTTGAATAAAATAATCATTTATCACTCGAAATAATTAATGAAAAAAACATCGATTTTTAATATGCATAAAACTTGCAATAAAAATTTGGCGCTGTTGTCTGGGTTTAGCTATCACAATTCTCTTTTGAAATAACTAATTACGAAATGAAAGATAAAAATTTAAGAGCAGAGCCCGGATTTGCAACAATTTCTCAAACTTTTTAACATTGCACACTCCGAACACCTCGGAAATGAGATTTCGCCTTTTCACAAACCCATTAATATTCGCATGCGGGTCATAAAGTAAAATAATATTGGTATGATCTTGTTTCATCACCTCTTGGGGGGACAAGCAATTAATATGTCAGACTCCGGTTATCTCCCTTATCATTTGGATCAACATTTCCGACGGAAATAAAAATTACAGATACAGTTTTCAACTTGGTCTCGCATTCAATCCATTCAATTTCAGTCAAGATGAAGTACGTGGGAATAAGATCACGCATTCAATCATGACATCTCGATATTTTAATCACGAAATTCAAGAGGTCACTAAAATTTGGGAGAAGAAAAGTGACTTTCTTTTTCCACGTCTATTTGCGCTGCGGCTGATAATAAAATTGGCAGAATAAAAAATCTGAAAAAAGAAAATAATTACCAATCTTTTGTACTTGAGTAATTTTTTTCTTCCATTAAGAAATAACGAGAAGAATGAGCAATTAATTTTTTGGGTTAATTAAATGAAGAAACTTTACAATACAAAGTGATACAAAATTACACAAAGGTAATGAGGTCAGTACTCGCCGTGTAATACATGATTGACCGGCATAAATATGAGCATTAGCGATATTCCAACAATTGGCAAGACACGAAAACCTGATTCGAGTGATTACATGGCATATGCTCATAATCCCGAGATATGCAATTAGCCGTTCCGCAGAAGCAACAGGATGGATTTTGATAAACACCTGTTAATGGACTTCTATCCCTCATACTGATACTTGACACGATACCTCTAATTTTTATTACTCAATGTGGCTTTCTAATTATTATCAATTTACTCGACAAGAACAGAAATAAAAATTGTACAATTATTTTCATTGTCTCAATCATTAATTCTGACGCACTTGAATTGAATGAATGCATCGTTTTTTTTAACGAATTCAATTATTATAATGGAAAGAGGCGAACTAATTCATTTATTTGTCATTGTAATCGCCATTTTGTGGAAAAAAAATGCAAAGAAAGTCGGAAAATGTCTGACCACCGAGGATCTCACTCCACTTTCTGCACTTGCATGTAGACAATCCGGGGTTCTACCTATTCATCATTTTATACGGCTCTGGAGGCGATAACCAACTGTGCACATAATAACATTCCGTGGCTTTCTAAATAATCGTAATTGAAGAAAGAGGGAAACTGGGTCTCTTCACTCTCGCGAACGGTGGTGAAAAAAGGGGGGTAATGCAAAAGGGTAATGCGCGGAAAATCGGTGGAGTTTCTGAAAAAATTGCATCGATATTACGATGCCATTTTAACCCTCGACTACTAGAGTGCACAAGAATCATATGGAGCACACGTTCTTTTAATCATTAAAGTAATTTCAGCAATTGAATTCAGGGGAAAACTTCGTAATTATTAATTATTATTAAAATATCTGTGTCTATTGTAAAATGATGAAACAAGAAATTGAATCGCTTGCGACTTATTAGATATTCTTATGAGATCCGGATAATTCAACAAAATTGGTGATCTCCGGTAATCTGAGTCAAGTGTCAGGAAGATAACGCGATGTTAGTGTGTCAGTGTGTCTATATGCTAATCCTCCAGGACGATGAGGTGGTTATCCTACACCAACAGCTAACAGTCATTCTTTCGCTAATGCAAGGAGTAATGTCTTGCAATGTGTAACGGTATTATTTCCTCGGTAGAAAGTAGTTTGATTATTTGGCTTGTAAGGACCAAGTACCTGACATGCCCCACCCACGTGTACATTGTCCCAAGGACGTACCTTCTCAATGAATCACTTTGAACTTGATTTATCCGCGGATTCAATTCAATGCAATCTCATGTACTTTTCTCTTTCTCTCTTATTATTTTAAAATTATTTTTTTTATTAATTGAAATTATTGAATTGTATTTATTGGAATTATTGGAATTATTGGAATTATTGGAAATGTTAGAATTATTGGGATTATTGGAATTATTGGAATTATTGGAATTATTAGAATTATTGTCGGTGGATTGCGACTGAAACAAAAAGTGATTAGGCTAGAACTAGGCGAGGGACAACAAAATTATATCGGACTGTGGTGTATGAAAAAAGTACTTTCAATTTCGTGACCGTAGAATCGATTAAACACCGAGGGAGAATAACAAATGTCAATGAAAGCGAACCGGGAATAATAGACCGTGTCAGTTGTGACGTCCGGTGTGCGGTAAAAGTGACAGATCATAACATTCTGTTTTGACACCGTCGAAAAAATGATGATATACTGTACAACTGGTAATCAAAGCTGAAAACCAAAAATAATTCTCGTCAAGCTACAATTTTTGGGGCTAATTTCTCTTTGTATGCAGAATATAGGGATGAGTAGAATTGAAGGGGACTAAATCCTTGGCCCCTTGGAATTTGAAAAAAACTTTCTATAGGTGACTCCGGATTCTAAGAATTCCATTTGTACTCCTAATAACTGAGATCCGTGTGAAAGCTGGAGCTCCATTGACGTCAAAGAACGGGTGAGTGTGGAAAAATTGCGCAATTTTCACTCCCTCAAAAATACTTAGGTACGTCATACAGCTTTCTTATTTCTCCCATGATATCAGGGGCAAATAGATCGGAACGAAGCGAATCCGGAAGTTGTGGTTCTCAACAGATCAACACCAATTACTTTTTCAATATTTGATTGAGACTTATATTCTCCTTGTCAATCCCATCGAGAGATAAGGATGTGGATTTGAATTTATTTAATTTGCCTTATACGAATTTGCAATGAAAAAAAAGGAAAACCTGATTTAGAATGAGCCAATGATAATTGACCTCTGAAACACCTGAGATTCTCTCTTCCGGTGTCTGAAGACCTTCGACTTTCGCCGGTAAGAATTTGCACTTCCGGTATCCGGATGTGCCAGTTTTTGTGCGTGAAAATGAAAAAAATGTACATTGGATATTCCACCCGCGCAGTCGTGATTCAACTTTGCCCCGCCCTCGTATCCCATTGTGTCGATGATTAAGAAAAAAGAAAGTTCTGGTCTTTCACATTGTTCAATCTACGGGTCATTCCAATTTTATTTATTGCACAGTCGCAATACCAGAGATAATGGGTCAAAACTTCCCCCTTAAATTATATAATAAAATATTATAGAATATTATGTCAAACGTTTCCGGAATAATTTTCAGTATATACGACTCATTACAAATTATCAAATATTTTTTGAGAAATAAATTCATTATTTAGTTTCACTAATTGATGGAAATGTAATGAGCGCGATTTTTCGCTGGAGAAATGATTTTTTTTTTGGTTGGGATGATGGAGTATTTTTGGGTGAAAGCCGGTATCTAACGTCCCTCCAACATCGGCCGCCCGGAAGAGGACAACCTGGGGAAGGAGTTGCCAACAAACACCCGACACTCAAGAGGGGAGAGTATATAGCCGTCGTTTCATTTCTGTCTGCCTCACAACCAACACAATCGCCAAAGTTACCTGGAGACCCACATTTCAAGTTCTTCATTTAAAATTACCAAAAATATCAATTAACGGGGAATTGAGCGTTAAAAGTGCCAAGTGTGTGTGCCATAGGATTACATCGACCATTTACCAAATCAAGGTTTGTGACAATTATTCATGGAATTAATTACTGTGGTACAGTGTTCAAGTGAACGAATCTGTGATTTGAGATATTGAGACTGTCACGATAAATTACTGTAATTACTCCAAATGCTCTAATTGCTCGAATTACGATTCTAATTATGATTATTAATTATGATTTTTTATGACGGTGGATGGATCACGACATGTAGTATTGTTCGGTATGGGAGAATTTTTTTGTTGTGATAGTTTTGGTACTGAATTTATTAATTGTTTTGGGGATTATTGACTGTTTTGGTATTTTAATCGTGACGAATGTTTGGGATTTGTAAAGGTAAAAGGGTATGTGGGGTAGCGAGTCAGTGTGTCAACCGTTCTCACGTCTCTTCGTCTTCTCTTCTTCACCGAGAACAAGGCCGATTTAATATGTGTGTGTATGGGCCCCACTGAGACAGAATGGTAATGGGCCCAGAAGGCAATTCAAAGACTTTCAAATAAATTAATCGCTCGTGGGCTAAAAACAGAATGATTTTTTTTTCACCTGACATATTTTCTACACCCAGAAAATATTATTTATTTCAACTACAACACTCATTATTTTTGCGTTTGATATTTTTTAATAACTGCTTTTAGGAAAGTAGTAATCATTGCGAAGTCACAATTATTTAATGAGAAGTGTGGAATCGCGAATCGGAAATGGAGAAATTGAGAAATGCGTAAATTTTGTTGGGAAAATTTCAAAATTCAAACTTTCTCGTCTCTAATTTTCCAACTCACCTCAAACACTGCGGACTATAATTTCGCGCTTTCTGCATTTCGCGTTGAAGATGAAACGATACATATAACACGCAAAACAAGTTTCCCCGTCAACTTATTTCCGTGATACCTTTTCCTCCGTACATTTTCGAGTTTATCGATTGAACTCTGAGAATAAATCGCAAGTACTGAGTAATTGCAATGAAAGAGTGGGAGATTTTTTAAATTTCATTCATAATCATTCAAATAGAAAAACAAACGAGATATTCCATTTTTTTAAATGTCCACAGAAAATAATGGCAAATAAATATTGGAATGTTCGATTTCGGTGTCAATCGAGTGAACCTACTTTTTATACCATTAATAATCCAAAATTTACATATTAAATCGAAGAGGCCAGAGAAAAAGGAAAGCAGTCCCTCTGGGAGTGTGGGTTTCTTCGAAATTTTATTTCTCGATTTCTCGGTTTTTTCCGATATTCAAATTTGCCCCAAATACCGAAACCCCGAGAACATCCAACCAAACGATGAGAACGTGATTATCTCGATTGAACGGTGTGAAACGGAAAGTTCCTCACAGCGGCATTAATTTTATCCGAGATAAATCAATTTACATTAATTAATAAACCCCTTCCCCGTGTCCTGCCCTGGACGAGGAAATCCACTTCGATTCCCTTGGAACTATTTTCTTGAAATGATATTTACAGGAATTTACCGTTTTTTATATTTAATTTTATGAAAAAAATTCTATTTAGGAAGATGATAATTTTTTATCTGGTACACAAGAAGTGGAACTCGGACAGAAGCTCCAAAGATCTGTTCTTCACTCGTCGAACGTGTTAGAAACTAGTGTTCAAAGATCTCCATCAAGATATTGTATTGACCCACTGAGAACATTCCTCAGTCCATCCACGAGAAAGTGCTCCTCCCCCAAATTACACCATAAAATTACCGGTAAAAAATCATGCCCTCAGAATTAAGACAATACACTCAACAAAATAATTATCATTGCTTAGTCAATGAAATCCATTAAAAATGTAAAAATCAAATGGATAATGTTCATTCCAGTAAATTTTGTTATGAAATTCCAACTCTCAAAGTTGAGGGTGAAAAGATGTAAAGTGTTCGGTGTAATTGGACGAAGGGGTCTTGCATTTCAGTACTCTATTTTTTTTTTGGTACACGTAGTGCGTGACAGGTGCAATCCGTGACGTAATTCCCCCACCGTAAATGCACCGTTATGTGGTGAGGACAAAACAAGTCACATATGTGCCAGGTGAAGTGTCACAACCCGGATGTTCAACGCCCCTTTCTACCCTCAAAAGTCGTCGCTTAAATTTTTCACGAGTGTGAAAGTGATTCAAGGTGAAAGAAGATGACAGTACCGTTAGAACATCGCAAAAAAAAAATAATAACCCAAAACGGCTAGATTTCTAAAAAAAAAAAAAATTGTAGCCCAGTATGATATATTATTTGAGGGTTGATCGTCACCATTGATTTATTAATTTATTTTGATTAATTGAACGTCGGAGTTTTAGGATAAACGCAATAATAATGTGCAAGTCACTTGAAATCTTCATAGCGACAGAAGCTCGATTGAATTATTGGAGGAAATTATCTCGGATGACATAAGTCCCACCAAAATTACCGTGACTTATGCATTTTTTATCTCCACATGTGTTCCCAGTGTTCAAATGTGACGAGTCAGCTTTTCTAAGATGAACCCGAAATCGAGACAGAATTTAAAATATATTTCAAGAGACGGAAAACATTCGTGCATATCCAAAATCATCTGTCGTCCGTTCAATAATGAGTTCATCCCACGTTCAAGCCTTCTCTACTTTCTAAATCATAATTACAACCCATAAACAATTAATTGACTCTACAAAATAGTTGATGTATCCATCGATGTAAAAGTAAATTGAATAAAGAATTGTTCGAATTTAAGAAGAAAAAAAATGTATTCAGCACGAGATAATTGAAGTGGGAATTATTAATAAAAAAGTGGTAATTTGTAATTATTTTCGTTAAAGCAAGTGAGTAATGACGAGAAATGAGATAAAAATTTCAAATGAAGATTTCTATTTGATTCAAATCACCGATTTTTCTAGGCGTCACGCTCGAGATCACCAAAAACCCAATGGATTTGGGTCTCGAGAACAAAATTTCTAGGATATGAGTTTACGCAGAGAGTGATCCATTGGTGAAGGCCTTGGATTTAGCCCCGAGTATTTTTTTTTTTTGGGCCGCTTTCACCCGAGTGCCGCCGACCCCATCTCCTCACCTTTTCGAATGTAAAAAATGCGTCTTCTCGATTCAATACCAAAACCCTCGATTTTGTGATTCTGCCGTTTAATTACCGATGCACAATCGCAGGGATTAATGAACTGGGTAATTAATTAATTGGCGGAGCTTCAGGACGCGAATTAGTGATTAAGAACGTGAGAATCCTATATGAATGGAAATAGTACAATTCCTTTAGGAGAATTTTAATTTTATCAGACTAAATATCTAGAAAACGTCAATTATCGATTCCTTGAATTATTCATAGTCGACCAATTAGTTTTGTAATTAAAATGTAAGCTGTTTTTGTAAAGGACGTAAATGGTGAATAATTTTACGAGTTGCAAATGAAAAAATTATTGGAACTGTAAATGATGATTGAACCTCTGGGAATTTATAGGAATTGAGAGAAAAGAATGAGAAGAATTTACGTAACGATAATTCTTCGAAATGACTGTAATTTAAATGTGTAGTCTTTCGATGACAGAATGACCTACATATGGGTCTCCGCCCGCATGTGTTCAGACGACTTCAGACATTCAGAACTACTGACCGAATGCGGAAGTCGCGACTCTAGATAATCCGCGAAAGCGCGAGTGAGTTTCTTTCACCTTGCCTTATCCCTGCATTTATCGGCTTATCGCGAGGTTAAAGGTGTGAGAAAAACGGTTCGTAATTTTCCCGCGCGTCAAAAAATAATCCGATATTGTAACTAAAAACAGATTAAGGATTTGAACCAATGAGAAATCTTCATTATTAATTTAATTCTCCCCCAGTTTTAACAAATGGGTGAAATATATTACAACAGAAAAAATAAAAATAAAGTACTGATAATCAATGGTAATTAATCTTTTTTTTCTTCTGGTAATTTTTCCAGAATTTTTCTCATTTTTTGTCGGATGATCTTGGGGGATTGATTAGGGTCATTAAGAAATTACGTGAAACCCGCAATTTTTTATAATTTTTTTCTTGGGGGAGGGACGCAGGGCTAATTCCAAAGGATGTCGATTTTTTTCGTGCCCTCGAGCCCTAATGGATGCCATCACCGGGAAAATAGTGAGGGCCGCGACGAATCAACTCGAGAATATTTTCCGACTAGTCACGGCGAAGCCTTTGATTTTCACAAGGGTGTACCTGCCGCTGATTATGATCAATCACCCCTGCAGGTGAGACTCCAATTGGGGAAGATGTTGATGACGTTGTCGACTGGGGCAAGTCATCTCGTCGACAGGGTGCACCGGAGGGGGTGATTATCATAAATTCAGAAATGACTGGTACGCATTTTTCGAATTTTCAGTGTGAGTTGCATCGCTACTGATCATTTTCCCTTCCCTCGTATTTTAATTATAAATTAATTATTTTTCCAGTGCACAAGATCACGTATGATCTTGTGAAATCGATCCCGATCTCATCGCCCTTATCCCCCCCAACCCCCGCCCCCCACTCCAATTTCATTGATGATCTCCTGCGCGTCATCCGGAAGTTGGAGGAAGCAGGGAGTCTTTCACCTGTCCACGAGGAAAAGAGGAATTGTTCACGGAAAAAGACGAGATGTTTAATTCCCGTAGAAGATTGGGGGGGGGGGGGGGGGGGGGGGGCTGTGTTCTAGGCCCTCACACACGCACTCTGACGATTCTGGGGAGTTCTGGGAGGGGGTTCGAGGGGTACCCCACCTCTGACAAGAAGAACAGCAGTTCGGAACGGGGCAAATCCGTCAGTAGGTCACTAGGACGCGGCTCAGAGCCGCAACAAGAGCCACTCGCACACTCAGTCAGTCCCCGCCGGCCACGACACAAAGGCCCGCGTGAGGCCCAACATTTTTTTTCATCCGCGCCACAAACTCTTCATGCGCTTTTCATCGCGCGAAAATTCCCGGAAATTACAGAACACCCGGATATCCGGGTCGACGCGCAAATTCATTGTGAATTTATTATTTCTTAAGGAATTATCAGTGCTCGTGAGGTATTTTTTCCCTATTTTTTTTTTTTTGACTACCTTGATGCGGAAAATGTCTGTTTGTCTGTCTAGAAATGATATTTTCTTTTTGGATTGATGTAGAAAATGAAAAAATTGAATTTCATCCATTGGGCCAGAAAAAAAACGTGAAAATTATGAGTTGAATTTAATTCCACGCGCAGAAGAATTCTTTCTTGAATTGGTTAAATTTCTTGCGGAAATTATATATTTTTTACGATTTATACCATTAGCCGATATTATATAGATTTTCTTATATTCTTAATAGGGAGTAAAATGTAGTAAAAAGTGTTGGAGTGAAGTGGTTGCGATTTCTTGCCTGTGAATTGATGGGATTTTATTCTTGGGGTTTTTACGCTCGTTGGAGATGAGTGGAGCTGAATGCATTAAGCAATGATTCGAAACGGAATATTCTTTTAGTTTCACTTCGAATTAATTCTTTCTCGTAATGTCGCGGAACGCAGTGATTAATAATCCCCCGACTGTTGGGGAAAAGTTAATTTGTCGACAGATCCTCAAGTTTCTCGTTAATTTTTATCTTATTTTTTATTGCAGAATACGCACACTCAGCCAAGATGGAAAGAACGCGGAGGAGTTTACGGAGAGCCATTTTGAGTGTCTTATTGCCGATTATGCTGGCCCTTGTGAGTAGAATATTTTTTTCGGATTTATTTCGCGGGTCGAGTGATTGGCGGAACATTCAAGGCAGCTGTTTGTGGATAATGTGGGATCAAATGACCAATTATTGGCTCTGATTTTTCGATGAATTATGGAATATTTGTTATTGGGTTCAACAGTGGTTAATGACGCTGTTGTTAAGGAGCTCATTAATGACTGGCACGCGGTGTTACGCGCAGGCAAGTTTTTTAAATGAATCTAATGGATCTCCGTTATTCATTAGGGGCTCTGATTCAGCGATCGGTCAGTTGTTGAGATTTACGGAGCGTAATTTTTTTCTCGAGTATAAACTGTAAATAGAAATTGTGATAATCTGGATGGGGAAAGAATGGTCAGGGCCGATTGGGAAATATTGTAGCCATGAATGGATCGATTCATGAATGAATCGTTCAAAGTTAGATACAATAACTATTAGCCGATTCGATCTAGGAAATTGAAATTCGGCGCACGCTATCATTAAAAATGTATAGATAAAAAATATAAATACTCAATCTCTTTTACATAACTCGGCAAAGTAGATCCGCGACAGAAATCTTTTTCCTCGGGGGCGACTCGACAATGGAGGAAGCAGTTGAGGCAATCGCGATAAAAATTAGTTAATTGAGAGTTGGTTTTAAAAAAAAAATGTGATATGCGAGGTGCGTCTGGTAGGTGGAAAGAAGGAAAGACTGGTGTGTAGTCGTCGAAGCGATGATAGTAGGTCACTGCGCCGGACGCGCGTTGCCCTCCTCATGGTTTTGAGAGAGTTGCCCGTGGTTTAGCTGCCGTATTACACCCAACAAGTACAGCTTCGATCAACCATTCGTGGATATGGTGTATCGGAATCGATATAGTGTCACTGGAGTAAACTCCGTCAACTGCCTGGATATCGGGACACGCCTTTGAATCGTTACACCGGCATTCGGATCAACTTCTTTCTTTCGAGTCCCAGCTTTCTTTCCTGGTAAATGTCTCTCGCACTGGCCCCATATCAAACAAGTGTGTGTCACCGGGCGGCGAGGTTTTTATTTCTTTTTTTTTTCTTTTTCCCTTCCACTTTTTTCATGCACTCTGGGGGATTTATTTACAAACATCTGCGCCAACTCCCGGTGATCGCCAAGCAGTTCGGCGGGTCATTGCCATCGGCCTTTTATCAACGCTCATTTATCGGTTTGCGTAGTTGCACTGTTAATTCGGTGGTTCTTGAATTTCAAATTGAAAATTATTGACAATTCTGAGTAATTACCGATTGGATTTCTCTGGTGGAATTATGAGAGCTGAGGAAAATGAAGGCGGAATAGCTGTATTGACGATTTTTCTTGAGGCTTGTCCCACAGAACAAAGGCAAACCGACAGGTGGAGTGCCCTTAATGTCTTCCAACTTTTCTCCCCATCTTTGGGGAAAAATCGGCGGCTTCTTTACCTCATCAAAGTCACACCACATCCCCAAACTAGTACAAATTGTGGCAGCTAATGGGGGAATTAATCACGGATGGTGGAGAATTTTAATCTATTTTCTAAGATTACTGGGTGCTTGTCGTCACGCGATATTCGGTAAAGAGGGGATTATTAATAATTCTCTCGGGGGAGGGAATTGAATGGGGTGTTGTTAAATGAATAGGTACAGCTTAGTCACTTTCATGTCATTAGTGATGGCGCCCATCGTGGATATCCACAATCTTGCGGTTGTGGCCAACGGCGGCATCTCGTTTACGCGCCTCCTTTAACTCCCCGACACGCCCGTCAATCCCTCAAACATTTTCCTCCTGCTAATTCGATATTTCAATACTAATTCCACTGAAAGATGTGCGTTCATCGTTAATCATTACTTCACTTATACTTTTCAATATTTTTGAAGGGAAAATGCATAGAGATATCGGTCAACTCAATAAATTTCCTAAATGATTTGTCTCACAGATTTTTCTCATAGAACTCACAATTTGAAGATTTATGTGAACATGAAAATGAGAAAAAAAATGTGAAACGCATGTCAATGAACCGGAACCGTCTGCCCCGTAATATCATTGGGATCAAAAGCGACAAATGTGCGTTGAGAAGCGGTGCGCACTCTTTTTCCTAATATGTGGCTCGTCTAGCTGTTCTTGTCCCAATACATTGGGAGCACACTCATACGCTTTTCAATTAAATCTCAATTTACGCTGACTCTTTTAATTACAATGCCCGGATCAGCCCCATTCTCACGTTTTTTCTCCCTGTCTTCCGGTTTTTTTTCCACATTACGTTTCCAGAAGTGAATGAACAAATTTTAGAAATTGAATTTCCGCATTTCCTCGCTGTTTTACATTCATTTATTTTTCATTAATTAAACATCACGTCGATATTTCACTGATTTCATTAAATTATCCGTGGGATTGTGGGGCTCATGGCCCGGTAGAATATAACAATGTCAACAAAGTGTATGTTATTCCGTTTTAATTACCGCATGAATTTTAATCTCGCTCTTTGCACCACACAAATTTATCGCTTGGCAAACGATTCTCTCTGGGAAGGTATATTAGCATTTGGTGATAACAGATAACCTCTTTCGACAAGACAAATTTACGTACAGCAGGCTTAAGGCTCCCGATTAGCAATCTAGTCTCTACTTCAAAAAATGGATTGGAAACATCTACAGTATTTTTTTCTCACGATGAATCTCATGAGATTATCATTCCGCGATATTCCGGCGTCTGTTAGAAATATTTATAGATATATGTGACAAATTTCTGAAGAAAGCCTCCACTCTTCCCATTTTATGATTTGCATTATCTCGCGAAAGGCCTGTCGAGCATTTCACTTTCTAAACGTGAAACGCTTCGACGGCGATCAACTGTCCTCATGAAACGTCTTATTGTCTCCTTATCTCAATTGATCGCCCTCTTTCACTCTTCACAACACCTTCACTTTTCTTTTTCTTATTCCCTGATAATAACGAAGTGCAAAAAATCCCATGTTTCGGTATTATTTTCCAAACAATTATTGAACGCGTGATAGTGAAAGTTTCTGATATTTCAGTGGAAATAGATAACGATTGAAATTTCTCGGATTTAATCCTACATCCTACAGGCCTTACAAAATAATATCAACAGTGTATCAATGTTTTAATCGGAATTCCGGAAATGCCGTTCAAAAATCGTGGCCTGTAATTCCTGGCACGCTTCAAAAACCAGATAAAACTGGAAAAGAGTCATCTGAAAAGAGTAGTCCAAACGTGTGGGCATATGGGCTCATTTTTCCGTTATAAACAGGCCCCCGTGCATTACGAAATTCCTGTTCTATTCTGCGATTTCACAATGAAGCAGTGAAACCTTTGTTTATATTCTGACCGTGTTTCTCGGGTTATGCCGTATGGACTAAATCTCTGATAAACTGTCTCTAGATTTTCTCTTTTTAAAATTATGAGAAAGAAACGAATGATAAAAACTCGAGAGGGTATTCAAATGAATATTAAGCCTAAAAATAAATAATGAGAATAAAAAGAAATTATCAATTTGCAGAGTGTAAAATGTGAAGCGCCATTGGTGGACAGTAGCGCTTTGCCACTTGAGCACAGATCAGTATACGGCCCTCCGGCCCAATACGGCCCCCCAGGTCACGGGGCCGAGGAGAACTGGCCCCTGGCGTCTCCAGACACACCCCAAATCAAGCACCTGCAGGTCCAGTGCGAAAAAACCCACATGAGGGTGAACATCGAATTTGATCGGCCCTTCTACGGCATGATCTTCAGCAAGGGTTTCTATTCAGATCCCCACTGCGTCCATTTGAAACCGGGTACAGGTCACTTGAGTGCAACATTCGAGATCTTCCTGAATTCCTGTGGTATGAGCAGCTCAGCCAATCACAATGTCGCTGCGTATGGTGCACCAACGCCATCGGGAAGCTACGTCGAGAATACCATCATCATTCAGTACGATCCTTATGTCCAGGAGGTTTGGGATCAGGCCAGAAAGCTCAGATGCACGTGGTACGACTTCTACGAGAAGGCCGTCACCTTCAGGCCCTTCCAAGTCGACATGCTCCACGCTGTCACAGCTAATTTCCTCGGGGACAATCTCCAGTGTTGGATGCAAATTCAGGTTGGCAAGGGTCCATGGGCTTCTGAGGTCTCTGGAATCGTCAAGATTGGACAGACCATGACTATGGTTCTGGCTATCAAGGACGACGAGAATAAATTCGACATGTTAGTCAGAAATTGCGTTGCACATGACGGCAAGAGGGCACCCATTCAGCTTGTCGATCAGTACGGGTGTGTCGTCAGGCCCAAAATCATGTCAAGGTTCCAGAAGATCAAAAATTTCGGTCCAAGCGCATCAGTCGTCAGCTTCGCTTATTTCCAAGCATTCAAATTCCCAGATAGCATGAATGTTCACTTCCAGTGTGTCATCCAGGTTTGCAGATACAACTGTCCTGAGCCCAAGTGTGGACATCCAGGTCTGGAATACGCTGGAGCTGCAGGACTATCATCGGAATATAGAGCCCCAGTGCATCAGAGTCTGGGTTCAGAATATGGTGCACCACCGGTGCCTGAATACGGTGTGCCACCAGCATACCCTGACCCACGCCATCCCAGTGGACCCGCTGGCGCATACAGCGAGCCAAATCCTGACGTTGTGCCAGCACCACAAGCTCAGACTTCCTCGTCCTCACCAAGCTCAACCCCAGGGGACTCACCAGCTAGCAGCTCTCCACAGAGTCCTCAGGATAATATCCATCTACCGCCTCCTCCTCTTCCAGGGCATCCTGCTGGAGCTTATCAAACGGTCAAGAGAAAGGGAACCGTTGGACCCGATGAGCTAGAGGGCAATCTAGCAACCCTCGGAGGCCGCCCCAGGTCGGTTGAGGGTATGCCTGCTGAGCTGAGGGGTGCCAGAAGACGAAGACATCTCGACGTCATCGAAATCGATCCCGTAAGTTATTCATTCGAGTCTTCTATCAATTTTTTAGTCATCCTTACGAAAATTTCCACATGTCTAATGATTTCTTTTTTTTTTTCACCGCAGAGTCTCTTCCACGAGATGACAGTGGTCTCTTCCCACGTGTACAAACGAGCAGCTCAGGAGATGACGGACGTCAACACGTCCCGAATAATTCAAGTAGTTGCACCAGGTGACGTAAACTTCGCCTTGGGTGCAGCAAGCACAAACAACGACACAACAGTCGTCATTTCAAACTCGTCAAGCGATCCGGAGACGATTTGCATGTCGTTACCAGGTTTCGTTGGTGGTTTAGTAATGCTCCTTCTCGTCATCATCGTGGCGTCCCTCGTTGCGGCATTCCTCTTCGTCCGGGTGAGAGCAGTGGATCGCAAAAATGCCGCCGTCAGCAGCCCTTATGCTCATGCCATCTACCCACCAGACGCATGCAATATCCCTAACACCGAATTCGTCAAAGTGGCTAATTGCTCCTCATAATGACCATTTTTAAAAGAGAGAAATTACCGAGGATGATTTACGAACTGAGAACAAATCGCCGTGGGCAATTCTCTCATCATCACATCATTATTCATTTCATTAATTTCCATCTTGCAGTCAGCCTTTTGTTCTTCCCCTAGTTAACCGCGGGAAAATTGATATTTCGCGTAGGTAGTAGGTGGAATCTTCATGTAAATAAGATCTCGAGATTGTATCCTATAGATACGAAAGAGAGGAGCGAAAGGAAATACTGAAAACACAAGGAAATTCACGCGGCCCCTTTGAGGAGCCTCCCAGTTCAAAACGAAACTAGTGAAATACGAGGAAAACATTGCGCTACGAATTCTCGATCAAAACAGAATGCAAATAAAATAATAATAGAAGACTGCTCAGTTCAGAGGAGCGGAACGAAATCAATTGAGTGATTTGAAGGGATAAATCATTTTAATAATTATTTAAAAATGAAAGTTCGATTGAGCAAATTGTTTAAATCATTTTCTTAGAAATCGTAGCGCAAAGCTTTCGTCTTATTTTTTAATCGTTTTGGTTGTTTACTGTCGAGGCTTCTTAAATTCGGCGTCTCGTCGACGAGCGAGCGTCAATCCTGGTGGAGCTAGTGTAAATAAATAGCAGGGCAGCTCAGAACTCCACCAGGTTACGAGGCTACTACCCTGCCACCTGATTTTTCCAAATTATCGTCACTCAATTACTAGTATCTCTCGTTATTTATGTACTCGTTTAATCAATTCTTCATACCTCATTCACATCATTTGTACTTTGGCTTACTTCGAGGTGAAATTCAATTTTTATTTATTTATTATTTTGTGATTACGAATTGAAGGTCTACCTCGATGATGACCCAAAATACACTCTCAATACTTTTTTTTTCGGTCATTACGGAGTATTTCTTTATTACTAATGCGATCGAGAGACGAGACGAGATTGATAATTTAACTTATTTTATTTTCCCTGTCACCGTTAAATTTCATTTCTTTCTCTTTTCCACACATCTTGATTTAAGTCACCGTCCAGTGGATATTCCCGGGAGGGAATACGGTATTGTATGTGTCTTCAGCACACGAAAAATTCAACGTTCAGACGAGTTTTGAAACGCTAAAGTGTTACGGTAAGATGTTAGACGAGGAACACGCGATAGGTGTGTTATTATGACTATTTTGATAATTGATATGAATATATTATAATTTTTATTTATTGGTGTTTGAGTTATTCACTTCCTCCCCTGTTTCCTGTATTCCTGGAAAATTTCCACAAGACTGGGGGATTGAACGAGCCTTTCCACTCGGGACCTCAGGTACCGGTGACGATCTGTCGAGGTATCTGTTATGGAGGTTGATATCGGTTTTTGGTAGTTCACATTGAAGCCCAATTGAAACCTATTAGGATCGATTCCGAGAAGATCAATAAATCCTAATGAATATTCAAAAATACGGCAACCCCAGCCAAAAACTTGTGAGAATTACCTAACAGTTCTGGATCCCCACAAAAATCGTAGGTTAATATTTTTTCGGTCTAAAATTCGGAGACTCATGAATTCATTCAATCTGAGACAAATTGTCTTGACAGCAGTTAAAGAATCGACGGCCCCTACATCCACGATTAACGGATCATCACTGAAACATCCTCTACCGGAGCTCTCAACATCCTTAACTCTGCGCAAACATTTAAATTCAATACAGACTACACTAAACGTACAACTAAAATTGGAAACAACTTTTTTTGCATTTGCCCACTCTTTTCGAGAATCGTCAGTAGTCTAGCCGCTACAGCCTCCTGGATAGAGAAATAACGAAATAACGAGTCCACAAATAATGAGTCATAAATCACGAATGATAGAGAAAAAGTGAGACAAGATAACTTGCGCTGAAGGCTATAAAACCGGGATTTTCATAGCTCGACGATTACTTGTCTTTACCGTGTATGTCAACTCCATTATTGGAGATATCGTGCGCCGATTCCATGTCCATACAAGGGGTAACAATGCCCCTGGATTGTCCGCGTAAATGCCACCGATTTGATTGTACGATAAACTGAAAATAATTTATCCCAAGAATCATCGACTTTCACCGGGGAAAATTCTAATTTACCAACCGCGTCTCTCCGTTTTCACTCAATACTAATCCATTCCCCAAACTGTCGAAATTAGCGATCATCTGGGGGTCTTGCGACACCCCAAAACAGTCGGGACCCCCTGGACTGAAAATCGTGTAGAGATCGTCTGGAAAGAAGTAATGCAAATTTTTTTATAAGAGACATAACCGATCGCCTCCAATTTGAAGATCATTAGAGATTGGCAGAAGAGAATTTGCCGATGTTTTTTCGATTTTGGAAATATTTTTTTCGGAAGAAAGCGAGAGATCTTTACAATTTTTGTTGTTGGGTTTTTCAATTTTGATGGCGAGGGTTCCGGTGGGGTAGTACACTCTCCCTCCGTGGTCTACCGTTTCGTAAAAAAGTCCACCCTCTGGGTAATAGTTCTGCACGAGACCTTTGTGCCATTTGAGGTGAGGTTTCGAAATTTCTGTCTCGTAGAGAGTGATTTTCTTCGATAATCTCTTTCCTGGTTTTTTCGTCCAGCCTAATTGCACGTATTTCTCATCTGAAAGTTTGTACTCGATGCTCTTCGCAGGATGAGGGGACAGAGAATCTCCATTCGGCGAATTTTCCAATTTTCCCAATTTTGACTTCAAGCTGGCAGCCATTATATTTTATCCAAATTATGGACATTTAATTAATCTTCTTTGTTATTACTACCAATGCCATCTGTGAGAATGTTTCCGAGACTTGTAGAGTTTTTTGTTTCTGTTTTTTATTTTTTCAAATTTTAATGAACGTTGATTTAAAACTTGAGAGTATTTTAAAACTGGCATTTGTTTAAGCCAAAATTATTAATAGTAATATAGGTATTGTTTTTAAATTTCCCGCTCGTAGAGGCATTCCCTGTCGGGAGAATTCGAGTTCAGTCGTTTAGCCCGCGGATTTTTAAATTAATATTTTATTTTAGTCATAATTGAGAGTAATAAGTTCGATAAATCGATAGAATAATTTCGAAGAAAAAAAATCCCTGGGTTTTCGACAATTTGTTCTCGAATAAAAATGAGACGAGTAGATGATGAATTCTTCCTTGAAAATCCCAATTGTAATTCATCAATCATTACTAGTTGATTTTACCGTGAGTCATTGACTCAATCCAAGTCATTATTAATGTAGATTGTGGTTAGAAGGACCTGTCAGGTTTTTCCTCTGACACAATTTAATACAATCATTCACAGAAATGAAAACGTCAGAATCAGTTACTTTTCAATAAAAATATTTTACGCAATCGATTTCACCGGTCATATTACGTGAACAAGAATGCATTCATATTTTTATTTAATGGTAGATAGACCGGGAAGTGATGCCACAGTTTCAAGTCTACCTTATTTTTCGTTTCATTAATAATTCACTTCAAGTCCTTGGTATTTTCATCATGGTGAGATCATCCTGTCGAGGGAATTGCGCTCGTTAATTTTTTCAACATACGATTATCATTTCAAATGCAACCACAATTTTTAGGTAATTCAACTTCAAGGCAAATTGTTTAAATAGTGGGAATTTTAACCGGAAAATTCATTTCAAGTTTTCATCTTTCTCAGAACTTGCGACACCCCGGGGGAAATTGCGTCAATGAGCGCTGCAATAATTGATTTTCCATTTTCACATAAAACCTGATATTGTTGCCGTGATCGGTGGTTTTTCCTGTTATCTCTAATTTCAGAGAAGAAAAAAAAATTAGTCCAACGTCAGTCATCAGGATTTCCTCGACAATTAAAAATTATAAAAATTCCTCTAACTCTGTATTCCTACCGCAGATACGAAAAAAAAGTATTTTCATAGAAAAAAAAAACAATATCACACCACCAAGTTTCCAGCTCGTCCACGAGTTATAAACAACCGAGAATTGCGCAAAAACCATAACGTAGTTGAGTAAGTATTACGTTAACTTGATAAGACCCCATGTGACTGCTTTCCCTGAGTGCGTGATGACACTGAAACGAGTTTCTCTACATCAAATCCCTCCGAATTACATCAATTTCCCCCCAGAATATCCCCACCCCGGATTTTCCAAATAATTTATTAACAAATACGTCACCACGACTGATAACAGGTGTACGCGGTGGAGCGCCTTATCAATCCGTATTAGTAAAAGCTGACGTTCATTTATCAGTTGAATTTAGTCGATCATCCGCGTCTCTAGTCGAGCCTTCAGTGTCATTTTTTTATATGCAACAGTGAAAGATATGTCTGGAGAACGGGGGAATACCTGGGACTCATGGAAAATCCAGCGACGTCTTTACCCAAACGGTTAAACTCATCTGGCCAAAACACTCGGACAGTCTGACATCGGTCTTTCATTACTCAAGTGCCCTCCTCACTGGGTAGTGGGTAATGAGTGCTCAGTGATTAGGATTACTCTGTGAATTTCCCTTTTTATTTTACCTTCAGTTATACCGGCAGTGTCCAAATTAAAATCATGATCAAGTGGAGAATTCTAAGTTTATCAGTCATTGCTCTCAATTTTTTCACAGAGGGTGAGTTTTTTTTAAATTTTAATATTCATCTCTATTAATTTTTAGGAGTGGATAGTTATTAATTTTTGAAAATTTTTTGCGAATTTATTAATATGATTTTTTAATTGGCTCCATAAAGGAATGAATTAATAAATTTATTATTACGGTAAATTATAATGAGGTTTGTGAATTTAATGAAGTTCATGTCAATAAAGGCACGTGTTGTGTAAAACAATTATTTTTTTATCGAGTGCATTGTAAAACGAATTAAACGATGAAATGTTGTGAAATATCGAGAAATACACCGGCAAAATGTTCTTTGAACAGAGTGAATTATAAAGCAATAAATTGCATTGCTCATTGAACGTTTCCCCTAATCTCCTTCGATTCTAATGAGCATGAATTATCAGTTTGAAGTATCTACAGTGAATTGAGCGAACCGGTCATTAACAAATGAAGAACTGATGACACCCACGTGTTCACAATTAACAAATAAATCTTGTTCATTTAAAATTCCATAACGAACAAGAAAATTACTTTTCATTCGTATTTTTCCACAATATTTTGTCATTCAAAGAAACCAGTTATCAACGGAATAAGACGTCAAATTAATAAATGGCGTTTATCAATTTATGGTAAAAACGGGAAAAAACTACCATTCGAGAATTAAAAGTGATGAAGAGGAATGATAAGTTGTAATCAACACCCCTCGTTAATTCTTCTCAAATCCCTCAGCAAACATCAACCCGACACAATGTATTATCTTTACAGCCTCAATACTCATTAACATTGACAACGAGCATTTGGACATGGAGAACGAAAAATACGTCGACATGATGAGTCATCCGTGTCGTCGTCCCTGCAAGGACAATTCACCCCCGATGATCTGTCAGTATTCCTTCCAAGTGGAGCATTACTCTACAATGAGTAAATCATGCTGGGATTGTCCGAAAAATCTCACCCACTGTTTCCTACCCCAATGCATTCCAGCTGATGGCTTCAGACGATCAATCACAGTTGTAAATCGTCAGTTACCGGGGCCCGGTATCGAGGTATAAGAAAAAAAGATCTCAGAAGTAATAAAAAAAATTCTAAATATATCCTCCGCAAGAAATAATCTGAATGCCTCAAAGTATTTCTGAAGTATTTCCAATCTGTCTAACGGAATTCAAACGAGGAAAAATGTTCTTAATTCGTGAAAAAAGAACTATCAATTACAATCAGATTAGAATAACTGCTACAGAATAATCTGACTGTTTATACATTCGGCCACGAAGCGGAACAACAAGTGCTATAAAAAGTGAAGGTTCGTCGGGATGATGGCCTTGATAAACACCGGGTGATTGTTGTCTAATGGTCCGCGAAAAAAAAAATCAGCTCAATTAGTCATAACCACGTGTAACAACCATCACTTGGGCGTGAGAGTTCAAATCACAAGATAATAACGCGTCTCCATAAACAATTTTCACCTGAAGGACATTTTCGTTCGCATCACCCTTGGCCTATTCTCACTCATTCGGAAAGAAATGCACATGATGGATAATTCAAGTAATTTCTGTCAATTGAATTCATTTTCTTCAGAACAAAATTCAATTTTACCCGCAATTTTAAATTAATCGCACTTTTTATAGACTTCAATCTCGGTAATCTCAAATTATCTCAAGTTTTCTGCAACTCATTGAAGATTAAAACAATTTTTCTCACTTCAATTACTGACTTCGACAATGAGACACCGAGCATCAGCTGCTGATAATGGACCTATTACGTTTTGTGTAATGAAAATTACAGTGGACGTGTAACTTTCGTGATGATGCTCAATAAATTATTGATGACCATCTTCTCTCATCGATAATTTTGTTAATTAAATACTTTAATGTTATTTACGCTCGACCAGCAAGTACCAGCGTAATTGAATTTGATTTTGGCGTCAGATTTGCCAAGGAGATAGACTCATCGTCGACGTAATAAACAGCCTGACAACCGAGAGTACATCAATGCATTGGCATGGACAGCATCACCGTGCATCACCATACATGGATGGAGTACCATACGTCACTCAGTGTCCAATCCATCCAGGATCAACATTCAGGTATCACTACACAGCAGCAACATCAGGAACTCATCTCTGGCACTCTCACTCTGGTATGTACCTTCAATTATTATTACTCATGATAATAATCAACTGGCGAAACCATTTCTGATTCATGAACTCCACTGAAGGTATGCAAAGAGGTGACGGAGTATTCGGAGCTCTGATTGTTCGACCCCCAGAAAGCAGAGATCATCATCGAGACCTGTACGACGTCGACGAGCACATGATTGTGGTTGTCGATTGGGACCACATTATTGGGCATGACAAATTCCTAGACCATCACCACGCATTTGGGGACAACAAACCACCGAATATGCTCATCAATGGTTTTGGTCCATACGACTCTAATCACATCGATACGAATATTCCCCAGGGTATGCCTTTCGCCGATTTTACTGTAAAACAGGTGATTTTTATTTTCTCGTAAAAGGAGTAATGGGGGAAATTTGTTAGAGAATTTTCAAATTTTCTACTGATCTTCAGGGGGAGAGACATCGATTTCGCCTGATCAACGCCGGATTCCTCAACTGTCCAATCGAAATATCCATGGACAATCACACAATGTATATAATTAGCACTGACGGAAACGACATAGACCCCGTGAAAGGTCGGTATTATGAAAAAATTCGTGAGGACGCAATTCCATCTGTTATTACGTCATATGTATTTTCAGCGAGTTCTCTCGTCACTTACGCAGGTGAAAGGTTTGACTTCATCGTCAGCATGAACCAACGCGTCGATAATTACTGGATTCGCTTCCGAGGTCTGATGGATTGTGACGAGAGGTTCATGAATGTTCGACAAAGAGCCATCCTGAGGTACGAGGGAGCACCTAACGAAGAACCAATGGAGAATAAGTACTGGATGAATTTTGAACACGACAAGAACGATAATGACGAGCCTGCGATGGTGAGTGAAGGGATGATTTGTCCCATTTCTCATGTAAAATATACAGAATGAGTGCATTATACAATCTGATGTTGTCTACGAGGCGAATATATATATATTTTTTTAACAGCAAGTGAACGGTTTGAACAAAGGAACCGAATCAAGTGACACAGTAAGCATTCCGTTATTGAAATCCCTAGAACCAGATGACGAGAGCAATCTACGAGATCCAGATCAGACCTTCTATTTAGGATATGATTTCTACAACAAGAGTAATCTTCATTACCAGGGTAGGCGATCCTCTCCGAGAATTCTCATTCCTCCAGAATTCACTCTCAATGAATTAAATGGAAAAATTAAATTTCAGTTGAAGGACACCCACAGGTGCTTTTGACTCCTCAGATAAACCACATCTCTATGAAATTCCCGGAATTTCCACTGTTACCCCAACGTGACTCAATGACAACTGAAAATTTCTGCAATTCGTCAACAGTCGGTGACTGTAAAAACAAGTACTGTGAGTGCACTCATGTAATTCAAGTAGCCCTGGGAAATGTGATAGAGTTGGTGTTGGTGGACGAGGGTGTTGCATTCGATGCAAATCATCCGTTTCATTTGCACGGCAATTCATTTCGAGTTGTGGCTATGACTCGGGTTGGGAAATTTGTGACTGTCGATGAGATCAAGGAATTGGATAGAAACGGAAGCATTGTGAGACGATTGGAGAGTGCACCTTTGAAGGACACTGTAACAGTACCTGATGGAGGTTACACAATTGTTCGATTCTACGCTGATAATCCGGGTGAGTGATTACTCATTTTTCCTTCGGAAGAATTAACTTTTGAGTGCAGTGATGAGAAAATTATTTTACAAATTCAAATAATTCCAGGATATTGGATATTCCACTGTCACATTGACTTCCACGTGGAAATTGGAATGGCTCTAGTATTTAAGGTAGGAAATAATGACGAGATGCCGGCGGTACCCGTGGGATTCCCCAGCTGTGGAAATTACCAACCGAGGGATCCCCCTGAGATGATTACCAAAAACACAACGAGTCCCCATAAGGAGAATGTCGAGGACACGCCTCTGGAGGAAATAAATATCAATCTGCAGAACTTAGGGGCTTTATCCTCATCATCACATCGTCCTTATTCTTTTCGTCTGAAAATTCTTTCAGTGATTTTCGTAATAGTTTTGACAGTATTTTAGGATTACATAGAGTGACTTACGCGGAGGAAAGATTTCACGGAAATCTTAGGCATTAACTTTAATTTAATACTAATTATGAATTATCATTTCGGCTTTCGCAAAGTTCTTTCTCCGCGTATGATTACAACAAATTCGTGTGATATTTTTTTATGTACTTAATGATAATATTTTAGCGTATAGGATTTCAAGCGAAATTATCAATGCAATTAATCGATTAAATAGAAATTGCACAATTAATTCTTGCTCATGAAAATTAAACTTTAGGTGAAGAAAAGTGGAATTTTCGCAAACTACTGATATTTTTTAAGGATTTACTTCCGGTAAGTTAATAATAAAGTCATTGACAAAAGAGCGGATCAAACATTTCTGAATTTACCGTAAGGGTAGATCGAAGAGTTCTGGTAAATGCCACGAGAATGCTCTGGCATCATCAGCTGTGAATTTAAATTGTAAAGAATTATTACAATGTGTAGAAAAAATAAATAAAAGTGAATGAAAGTATTTATAAAATTGTGAACTGCTCCAATTTCTTTTCATTTTTCCTCTCAATTATCTTTACACAAATCCCTTAATAAAAACTGTCCAATTCGTTATTTGTAGTTATATAATTCCTCCTATTGTTTTATAAATAACAATCTGTGATTAAAAACTTTCACAGCACCCCATAATTTGCAAAAAAATTCCCGCGAATTGAATGGAAGTATCCAATGAAAATCTCTTAGTGGGTTAAGCTTCCGCCATAAAATGAATAAGTAATTCTAAAAATAAATATCGCGGAGTTAGCGTCTGCAGTGTTGCAGCAGACAAAACATTATATACGTATACATAAGAAAGTTAATATTAAATAGTTTACAGTATAATTTCGAATGATGACAGAGAGTGACTATCCACCGATCATAAGACTCGAGGTAATTATCGAAAAATCATATCAACACTAATTGCCTGATCAAACAGCTGATAAAGACTATTTCAAGAGCCAAAAACTCCGACTTTCAGACCTCCAAACGAAAGCCTAACAGTTTAAATAATCAAAAATCTATTGAGTTACATTATCAGTGTGTTATCAATCACATTACGTCACCACTAATTACGTAATATCACTAATTATTAATGTTATATCACGTCAGGGAATTTTTTGAGGGAAAATTCCTGAGTTTAATCAATTCCACGAGAAATGTAACTATTGAATCAATTGGGATTGTTATCAGACCGACTCCGAAGGGGGTGAAATATTTTTAAAATAAATTGTTGAGAAAAATATCTTGTGGTGAGACACATCAGCCGATGGACCAGTCAGTTAGAAAGACCTCAACACGAGGTGCAAGTTTATTATTGGCAATGGCAGCCCCCCAGTTCTAAGCTCGTGGCTATTTCCGTAATAAATCTGTGACACCCAATCGATTATCCTCTCTTTCAAATTTGTCATCTCCCATCAGTTCAATGAATCGCTCTCAATCCATCCCTTCATAATGCGAATAAAATTCACAACAATCCACCAGTCAATCTCATTTATTCCAACTCTCCGATGTTATCCTTCACATGTGAATTGTTCTCATAATGAACCCAGACACGAAGGGAAAAAGAGAATTTACTGTCCCCCTGGGGCACTCGTATGAAAAATTTTAACGACGCCCTTTTTTTACGAGTCACTACGTTGGAAGACTATTTCCATATCATCAATATTAATTTCTCCCGACATTATTGTATTTCATTTATTCTACCCGAAAAAAAAAAACAAAGTCTAAAGGACTTTTGCGCCCTTTCTCCTAGAACAATCCCTTGAAAACCTCATCACCGTGGAATCGATCGAAATTGGAATTGCCGTAAGGTCGAGGGGTGATAACTCCAAAAAAAAAAAAAATCCCCACCAGGCACCAGATATCGCGAACTCGGGGCAATAAAACTCCCTCCCCCCTCCGAGAGGGTGCGGATACGAGACAAATAAACCCTCTGTGCCCCCCTTCGCCCCCGAAAACAATTCCAGACAGAACAACAGAATTGAACACGAGGAGAATAGAACAAGGTCAGACAGCCTCCTAATACGGAAATCCTCGTGCAAATATTCCCGGTTCGATTCCCCTCCATGCAATCCCAACCCTCCCCGTCCACCCCTTCCACCTGACACCACCTCCTGCACCCCCTACACCCTCGCACCCCCTACACCCCCGCACCCCACGAGACCGTGAAACACTGAACGTACGTGAAACCAACGAGGGGGTGTATTTTATTGATCGAGGGTAACTTTCAACGCAGTCGCCGTCGCGCCTTCCCTTCACCCTATCCAAAAATTTTCCGTAATTTTCCCAATTTTTCCCGATAAAAAAAAGTGTCAAAAAATTCTCAATTGCAACGAGAATCGGCAACTAACGGGTAATTACGATAAAATCGTCGTTCAGGGGTAATCGAACGGTGAAATCCTCCCCGATTCTGCGCTCTACCCCCGAGACTATTTCATCCCCTTCTCCAGAGGTAAGACAGAGCCACGGGGCGGCTCCTCACGGCCTCGGCTATCGGCGTTTAGCCGGTCCTCGCGTACATCAATGACACCACGTTAAATTCGTTTTAACTTTATGTGATAAAAATCAGTGAGTGATCATACAGTGGATTTTATTGACAGCGAGCAAAGGGATTTATCAATTTTTTTTCGCCGGGTGGTTGCACACCCCCTGGTGCGGCGCAATGGTTACGGACGGTACAAGTCAGGTAATTTTTTCTTTTCAATGATTTACCTGATTTTTTATTCATCGTATTTATTCATTGACTAGTTGATTAATAAACAAATTCATTTGAGGCTATTTTTTTAACATTGTAGACATTTGTCTAGTCCAATGCGTAAAATGAGTCAGACAGATGAATAAAAAATGTCAAAGGTAGTGCATATAGCCGAAGGTGACACTTGCTCCATGGGTCATGTGTGAAGGGAACAATAGAGTTGGGATGAAAGGGGCGGATGCATTTAGCGTCAATTATTAATAAGGGCGTAACGGTTTTAATAGTCTCCGGTGTAATTTCGATATGAACAATCGTGGAATGAATACTTTGGAAATTTTTGTCAAGTTTTTGTTTAAATTTATTTACAATTGGCAGCATGATAGAGTAACTAGAGCCGAAGGAATGTAAAATCAATTGAGTGAGGATCTCAGGGACACGCGGTCAAATACGTAACCCTCGGATAATAATTAATCGACTTTTTATAACGTCTTGGCGGTTTAATTGTCGGAGAAATTTATTCTGCCTGGTATCGATTTGTCCCGAGGGTTTACAGAGATCTTTTACTGCACTTTTCATTTATTTTATGGCGAATTGTATTTCCCCGCAGACCGATGATACGACGGCATTCCTCAGGGCTGCTCGCTCCGGTAATTTGGAAAAAGTTATCGAATATCTCGACAAAAGTCTCGACATCAATACCGCTAATTCGGTGAGTAATTAATCCCGGGTAAAAGTCCTTTCGTTTAATAATTCAATTATTAATTTCTAGAATGGATTAAATGCCTTGCATTTATCATCTAAAGATGGACATGTAGAAATTGTCACTGAATTATTAAAAAGGGGTGCTAAAGTCGATGCTGCCACCAAAAAAGGGAATACTGCATTGCACATTGCATCATTAGGTAATAAACTTTTCCCATCATCTCTAAATTTATTTCATTTGAAGTGATTTTAGATGTTTCATTGAATATTCGAGACATTGTCTTATTATTCATCAAGATGTGAATTATAATAATTTGATATTGTCAACAGCTGGGCAATCAGAAATAGTAAATATTCTAATACAATACGGTGCAGCAGTTAACATTCAATCCCAAAATGGCTTCACACCCCTGTACATGGCAGCCCAAGAGAATCACGATCACGTTGTTAAAATGTTACTCTCGAATGGAGCCAATCAGAGCCTGGCGACCGAGGTAATTCTACCCATTATAGATTTATCATTAACCGTGAATAATTCAACGGTTAAATCCTGGTACTTATCTATATCCAATTCTCTCGATCAATCCAAGACTCTTTCACCCCAAATCCTCATTTCTCCACAAATAGTAAGATACTTTCATCCAAAATGTCTTACTATCGATCGACTCGCCCCGAAGGGCACCTCAGCTCCAATTCAATATTTGTGTCCCTGAAGTGAATTTCAAAATATTCACTTGAAGTTTTAGTGCAATAGAGACGATTAATATTTATCATATCAGGATGGATTTACGCCTTTGGCCGTGGCAATGCAGCAGGGCCACGATAAGGTCGTCAGTGTCCTTTTGGAAAACGACTCGAAAGGGAAGGTGAGACTCCCAGCTCTTCACATTGCCGCTAAAAAAGACGACTGCAAAGCAGCTGATTTGTTACTTCAGGTAAAACAATTGTCCCATTTGTTCTGAATTTTTGGAATTACGAAGTTTTAATAATTGTTATCAGAACGACCACAAGCCCGACGTAACATCGAAAAGTGGTTTTACACCCCTTCACATCGCGGCTCATTACGGTAACGAGGAAATAGGGCGACTTCTGATAAAACGAGGTGCCGATGTGAACTACTTGGCAAAAGTACGAATTCTTATCGCAAATTCAAAATGACTACAAACTTTTCATTCACACATAACTCCACAGCACAACATCAGTCCCCTGCACGTTGCAGCTAAGTGGGGCAAGAACAATATGGTCAAGTTACTGCTGGAAAATTCAGCGATGATCGATGCTAAAACACGGGATGGACTTACGCCACTTCATTGTGCAGCGAGATCCGGTCATGAAGAAGTTGTATCGACATTATTAGAGAATTCAGCACCAATTAGCGCAAGAACGAAGGTAAAATCCAGGAGGTGATGAATGTTTTTTTTTGTGATGAGACAAGTGATGGAAGAATTTTGAACTTCAGAATGGTCTTGCACCCCTGCACATGGCATCCCAGGGAGATCATGTTGATGCTGCTCGTGTACTTCTGTACCATCGTGCACCAGTCGACGAAGTGACAATAGACTATTTGACATCTCTCCACGTTGCTGCTCACTGTGGACACGTGCGAGTTGCCAAACTTTTGCTCGATCGAAAGGCCGATCCCAACGCACGTGCCCTCAACGGATTCACACCCCTTCACATAGCGTGTAAAAAAAATCGAATTAAAGTAGTGGAACTACTCCTGAAACATGGAGCATCGATTGAGTCGACAACCGAGGTAATGGCTTCAAATTATTCCACTGTAGATTTTCTTTTGATGTTGATTTATTCGGCCAGCTTTATTAAACGTCGATTAAATCCTAATTGAACGTAGAATCATTTGAAATGATGCCCAGAAATTTTGATGATATTGATGATTGATGACAGCAGTATGAAATTAATTATGTTTTCAGTCTGGGCTGACTCCTCTGCACGTTGCGAGCTTCATGGGCTGCATGAATATCGTTATATACCTGCTTCAGCATGAAGCCAATCCCGATGTACCGACAGTACGTGGTGAAACGCCACTTCATCTAGCAGCGAGGGCAAATCAAACGGATATCATCAGAATTTTACTGAGGAACGGAGCCAAAGTCGATGCAAGGGCTAGGGTAAGCTCATTCATTCAATGAATAAATGTAAATAAATTTCCATCAAGAATGAAAATTCATTTCACTCGCTAATTCAAATTTTCCGCACTCGAAATAATTATTTACATGAAAAAGAATGGAATGGCTCTCTTATAAATTTTTACGCTCGATTCGAATTGTCCATTTTTCATCATTAGACAATGAAAGATAGAAAATTAAAATCAAATTGAATTTAATTGATCGCAGGAGGAACAGACTCCTCTTCACATAGCCTCTCGTCTCGGTAACGTTGACATTGTCATGTTACTCCTCCAACACGGCGCATCAGTGGACACAACGACAAAGGACATGTACACAGCCCTGCACATTGCCTCTAAAGAGGGCCAGGAGGAGGTAATGTACAATGAATTATCGAGAATCGCCGACTACATTAACACCCAGAATACCCTGTACCTGTTTTGGACCCGTCATCAGGAGTACATGATATGAAGAATGAACAATTTTAATTTATCATTTACCATGTTACGTTATTATTTATTTTATGTATTCATTTTTATTTCGATGAATGAGAGAGAATAAACACGATCTTCACTATTCGTTATATTATTTTTACTTATTGGTTTATGTTTTATAAATGAGGTAAGCACTTATTCATATTCAATCTGATGGTAATTACTCGTGATTAATTTCAATGTTTCTCGGGTTTTGTTTATTCTAACAACACTTGACTGAAGTGCGCTTTGAATGTTAATGAATACGGAGGGCATGGTGAGTTAATTATGTAAATTGTATTGAACAGGTTGCAGCAATTCTGGTTGATAATCAGGCATCGGTTAAGGCAGTGACTAAAAATGGTTACACCCCCCTTCATATTGCTGCTAAATATGGAAATATGAATGTTGCAAAAATATTACTGCAGAGAGATAGCAAGCTCGATACCCAAGGAAAGGTGAGTCAAAAAGAAAAAATGATAATTCCATTTCTCAAAACCACCAGCAAGTCTTGATGTGAATTTCATTTATTTTATAATGAAATTCAGAATGACATAACACCGTTGCACTTGGCTTGCCATTACGACCACCCCAACGTGGCGACGATGATTCTGGAGAAGGGTGCGTCACCCCACCTGCCCTCGAAGAACGGGCACACCCCTCTGCACATAGCAGCTCGAAAAAATCAAATGGATATCGCCTCAACTTTGCTAGAGCACGGTGCAGATCCAAATGCCCAGTCAAAAGCTGGCTTTACACCTCTGCAGTTGAGTGCCCAGAAGGGCCACTACGACATGACAAATCTCTTGATCGAGCACGGTGCAGATCCAAATCACAAATCCAAGAACGGCCTGACAGCCCTCCACCTCTGTGCACAAGAGGACTCCATCCGTGTTGCTTCGATTCTAGTTAAAAATGGTGCTAATGTCGAGAGTGAAACCGAATCTGGCTATCGTCCCATTCACGTTGCCGCCCACTTTGGAAATTTATCCATGATCAGATTTTTACTCAAGCACAACGCTCAAATTGATGTTAGAACAAGTCAGAATTATACTCCGCTGCATCAAGCTGCACAACAGGGTCATGCTCATGTCGTTACAGCATTGCTGGAGGGTGATGCCTCTCACAATGCCCGAACAAGTGTAAGTTAATAGTTTCAATAGTTTACTTGAAGCGCCAATTACGCATATGAAACAATCCGATGGATATATTTTTTCCAGGACGGCTTGACTGCCCTCAACATAGCTCAAAAACTAGGGTACATTTCCGTGATGGAAGTGTTAAAAGGCCTTCCTCACGACAGCGAGACCCCAGATAATAAAACCTGGGAGGAGAAGTACAAAGTTATTGCACCAGAGAGTCTCCAAGAAACGAGTTTTATGTCGGATTCGGATGACGAAGGAGGTAATTAATTCCATTTGATTGATCCAAGAAACAAGGAAACAATTCCAATTTCCCTTGAATCATGCAACATCATTGTGTTATGTCCAAAAGGTTCAGATGGATTGACCAACGAGCAGCCTTATCGCTATCTAACCGTCGACTTAATGAAGAACCTTCGGGATGATTCACTGCCGATCGATGTCACGCGAGACGATCCCGTACACCGACAAGGTAATTATTCTCATTGCCATGCCATTGGTAATTGATGAAGTGATTTAACATCTGTCTTTCAGTCTCGAAAGAAGAGCAACAGGAATTTACGCAGAGCCACAATTATTGCCTTGCTGAAAACTTTGATTCCACCGATGGAATCAATCTAGGGTAATTAACATCATCCTCCTATTGAAAAAATAATCCTCTCAATTCAATGATAAATAACGAAGTCGAGAAAATTTTTTAACAAGTTTTTCCATTAAATTGTTCCAGAAGACTTCATTTTAGATCGTAAGTACCCAAATCCCCCGATGAATTCAGAGTAACTGAGGAGCTAACAATATTAATTTGTGATTTAGTTTCTTGGTGAGTTTCTTGGTGGACGCACGCGGTGGAACGATGAAAGGCTGTCGACATAGTGGAATAAGAATTATAATACCACCGCGAAGAGCTACAATGCCGATCAGGGTTACTTGCAGACTCGTCAAGCCAAGCAAAGTAGCCAATCCTCCAGCTCTGATGGAAGGAGAAGCTCTCGCCACCCGAATAATTGAAATGGGGCCAGTGGGCGCCTCTTTTTTGGGGTAAAATCAGTCAATACGTTTTAGAATTTTATCAAACGTTGAGATTATCGAGTATTTGAGATTATCAAATGAAATGCAACGTGAAAATTTCAGGCCAGTCCTCATCGACGTTCCCCATTTCGCTTCAGTAACCGGAAAAGACCGCGAGATAATAATCCTCCGGAGTGAAAATGGCGAGACGTGGAAAGAGCACGACAACTCCCATGAGAATGATGATACATTATTCAACACACCCCACGATACGCAAATGAGTGCGCTATACACCGGCAGAATAACAAGAATAATCACCACTGAATTTCCCCAATATTTCGCGATAATAACTCGAATAAAGCAGGAAGTGCATGTGATCGGTGCTGACGGTGCAATATTGATGTCAAGTGTAGCCAACAATGTTCAGGCTGTATTTCCACCGGGTGCCCTAACGAAGAAGATCAAAGTGGGTCTCCAGGCCCACGTGATACCAGCTGAACTCACTGCTAAACTCCTCGGCAATTGTGTAGCAGTATCACCGGTCATCACCATCGAGCCACGACGTCGAAAATTCCACAAACCAATAACCCTTACGATACCAGTGCCTCAGGCTGCCAACAAGGGAATGATCAATCAGTATCAGTCCGGTGAAACACCAACTCTTCGATTGCTTTGCAGCATCGCTGGAGGTACCAGTGAGGCCCAGTGGGAAGATGTTACTGGCTCCACTCCTCTTGCATTTTCCAGCGATAAAGTCTCCTTCACAACAACTGTCTCTGCCAGATTCTGGTTGATGGACTGCAGAAATATCAGTGAAGTGCCAAAAATGGCAACTGAGTTGTACAAGGAGTCACTCTTCGTGCCATTCATAACCAAGTGAGTACCGAATTGAATCCGATTAGTCAACAAATATTTTATCCGTTTTGTCTATCATTAGCTTCATCATCTACACGAAGCGGATGGATCTTCTTGAAGCGACACTTCGCATTCTCTGCATGACTGATGGGAAAGAAACGATGCATACATTGGAGAGACAGGAGGAATTCTTAGAAATAGTAAAGAGTCGAGATGTCGAAGTGAGTTGACACTTTTAAAAGTGCTTTTGTCCATTTGTCTGAGGGAAAATGATATTTCAGGCATTGGATGGCAAAGACCTCTACATTGAGTTCAGCGGTAATCTCGTACCTGTTACTAAATCCGGCCAACAACTTAAATTTACATTCAGGGCATTCCGTCAAAATAGACTGTCCTTCCACGTTAAAGTCCGGGATCCACTCCTCGATCCCGTCGCCCGAATGATGTTCATGAGAGATCCAAAAGTTGCCAAAGGAGAGCCAGCCCAACAACCAATCTGCGTATTGAATATAGTTTTGCCGGACACCGTATCAAAATCCGAATCAACCTCAAAGCTCAAAGGTAGATGATAACACGCAACCACCATTAATTAGGTCCTATGATTTCTCATTCGATGCATGAATTTATTTCATTTACTTTGATCCATAGAACTAGATTCCAACCTCATTAGCAAAATGGATATGTACAAATCTACTTACATGAGGGACTACGGGGAAAAACGTGACATACCAAAACCCACATCACCAAAAGACAAACTCATAACTGATTTGTTACTAAAAGAACAGACAGGTACGTAAAAATTGTCATAATCTTGCCAACGAATTTCCTAATCCACCGATTCCCATGCACAATCAATTAACCGCCTAAATCGAACATTAAATGGTGCAAAAAAAACTACCAAAATTCAATTTACCAAAATGAATAGTTAGAAATGAAAAAAAAAACGATTACGTAATGCCACAGTCATTACAACAGGAAATTCTCGTAATAACGATCTTTACTTAAATCCATCTCATGGCAATTCAACGAAAAAAAAAGTCAATCCGATAATAGCATATAGCTCCAACCTGGCTTCCTAAATTCAATTAACAAAGGTAACATCGACAACCCCTGTCCTCACTTAACGCTCGTTGTACGGGAGTTAGTCTAAAGCGAGCCATCGCAGCAGCAACAGCTATAATTGAAAAATAAAAAGCACTAAAACGCGAGTGTCAAAGACCCACAAGATTCGAAAATTGAAAATATATATTTCCAATTTTCCGTTTCAGGTCATTTATTTTGAATTATTTTTGTCCAACTATTACAGTCAGACTAGAGTGCTTTATCAAACTTTATCAAAATATAAGTAGCATCAATAGCTCGAATAATGTCGTGTGACCATAGCGACCCGACTTCGCTCAGCAAAGTCTGTCAGATAAACTGTAAAATTGGATCATCCACATCCGAAGATAAAAAGCACTCGCTCTCACCGGAATCCCTATCACCAAAAAGAGATGGCAGTGCAACTGGTGCTAAACCAAAACGAAAATCACGAGGTGCACGAAGACGTCTCAATGCAATGATGAGTAACGTCTCCCTGCACTTCTCAGACACCGACTCGGAGGACGAGTTGTCAGTAGTGAAGACAAAAATTCGAAACCAGAGCCCATCATCGAGAGCACTTAATGGTGAAATACCGCCACCAGTGATCGAAGTAACTCTCGAGACGGCTGAGGGAGAGCCCGGGGATTCCCACTGGAACGGTATGGGCGGGGGATCCCCAGTGAGCGACAGAAGAAGTAGTTTTGGTGAAAACCTGACTGACGTCGACGAGATATACTTCGACGACCCAAAACCTGATGGCAAAGGCCTGAACATTCCCGATCAGGTGCCCCAGGGGGAAACAGATGTGGAGGATATGTCAAACGACGAGGGAGAGACTGACGAGCCGATTCTCATTACAGCACCCCAGATAGACATCCTCAGGGAATTCGGTGGTGGCACCATCACAACGAAAGAGGGAGACGGCCCGTTCTCAGTAGAAGTGAGAAATCAAATGTCCTTTGACGAAGGGGATGAGCCCCGTGAGCGTGGAAAAATCGAGCTTTATCCCCAGGGACCTGACACAGACTCCGAGAACGTCGATGTCTCGGATGATGAACCTGAAATTGCCGGCGCCTGTGCCCAACGGGACCTCATGGACTTTGATCTACTAGCTGCTTCGCAAATATTCATGAAGAATCTCAACAAAACTGACAATGCACTCACTGTTCCCGATCAGTACGAAGACGGTATTAGTGATAGTCACACTGATATCGAAGACATCGACTAGTTATCGCCTAATTACTGAGTTTTTTCAATGGTTCACGTTGTAACGCCGATGAAACTCGCTATGTTAACATTTCTACTTACTCAGATCAATTTTTATCTGGAATTTTGTGACTTTCTTTTTGCACCATTTGTTCGTTTGCCTAAGTGTGAATGTTTGTATGTAACAAAAAATTTGCATGCCCTGTCACTCGTTATTTGTCAAATTGTCACTACATCTTTGTTGGCTCACAAACATCACATCAATTTGACGGTATTGAATCAATTGAAGCAATCAACATTATTAACATTGAAAATATAGTATAATAGTCGATCATCAGGGAGCATAATTTAGCTGAATGTACGTTGTTCGATGGAATCACTTCAATGTTTTATTGAAACATGATTCTTTTGATGTTAATTGCAGAAAGAAATGCCGTCCTCAACATTGTCATTGACAACCCAATGGGATATTAAATAACAAAAACCTTGATTAATTCGTCCACGATTAAGATTTGGCAACTTTAAACACGAATAATGATAAATATCTTGTGTGATTCGTATTGACTCGAAAGGCTTACTAGAATGAATTTTCAAATAACAATAGATTCGACTCAATGGTGGTTAATTGTACAAATTAAATCAAATAAATAATCTGAAAACTAATGAAACAACCTTGATGAGCAGTTCTATTGTAACTCAATGTATCGCATTACGAGAGATTAAAGAGAAATAATGAGATAACAAGATTCTAATAAACAAAGATAACACGAGTATAATTTCTTGGTTGTTCTAGATGCCGCAACTATCCACGATTCCCTTGCACAAAAAGTGGCTTGTCCCCTAGAATCAGTAGATGCTAGTTATCCCAATAACGTAAATACTCAAGGAGATATTTCACCAGAGCTTGAGAAGCAGACATACTCGGAGAAACGTAGATTCTGGGAGGATATCACGAGAAAGCGTGATAGTTACCAGAGATCCGAGTCCGAGGTATCAAGGGCTTCGCAGTTAACTGTCAATGAGAGTGACAGTGAATATCTGCAGAGTATAGTATCTGAGGAGGAGGCTCCCACTATTCCAGAGAGATCTGAGACACTTGAGGATCTCAATATCCCCGATATATCTGAGTGTACGGTTGCTGAGAAGGCTCATTACTTCGAGGAGGTCATACAAAAAGAGGCAGTAACTGGCTCCAGACCGCTTTCTAAAATACTTTCTCAAGACTCCAAGGAGTCATTCAAGGAGAGACGAAAGAGTTCCATTGATCCTATATCATTAGATTCTGAGCAAGTTGATGTGAAACGTGATACTGTTGAGGAACCAAAAATTATTGGGGAGAAAGTCGATATTCCGGTGGCGAAGGAAACTGTAATTGAGAAGAAAATAATTGTCGAGCCAAAAGCTCCGCAAATAATCGATGCATTGAAAGTATCGAAGGATCAACCTTCAACACCACCAACACAAAAAAATATAGAAGAATTTAAAGTAGATAAAATTGATGAACCAAAAGCACCAAAAATGGAAATTCCGGTACAAAAAGAATCTGTTGTTGAAGATAAATTCATGGAACTGAAGTCGGATGTTCAGGCTCGAGAGATTACGAAAGAATTTATATCTTCAGAATCCAATTTCAGTGGTCAAGAGCTCAGGAGTATCTCAGAGCTAAAAGTTGAAGGCACAAGTAGAGAAGACACTCCTGATAAGGTGAAAGAGGAAAAATTGCTCGGAGAAATGAAGAGTGAGGTAAAAGAGTTTGCTTTAGAGAAAGAGCGAGAAATTTGCCAAGAGTTCATATCTGCCGAGTCCAAATTGACTCATCAAGAGGTAGAGCCCCGGGGTTCAAAGGATATCACGCCAATCCCAAGGAAAAAGAGTGAGTCCGAAGCCCCCGAAGTCAAGGCCCCATCGATGATTCCTAGAAAGATAAAACCTGAAGCGATGGCGAAATTTGAGCCGAAGAAAGAAGTGATTGAGGCTAAAGAAGATATTCCAGCATTGAGACGAGAATCTTCCAATTTGTCTGAGAAATCGGTATCAAAAATACCAGTTCCCTCACCGAAAGAGGACGTTCCATCGATAAAACGAGAATCTTCCAATTTGTCGGAAAAATCTGTGTCGAAGATTCCAATTCCTTCAACTAAAGTGGAAAAAGACAAGAAACCAAAAGACTCTGAGAAAAAGGAGAATGATTTCGAAAAAACGAAAGAGTCAAAAATTCCGAAACGCATATCCGAGGCAACATCGACAGTGACAGAGACAAAAATCACTGAGAAAGTGTCTCAACATTACCAGAAGCATACGTCCGAAACGAAGACACAGTCCCAGACGATAACAAAAATGTTCACTGACCCAAGAGAGGCCTTCAAAGCCTTCGAGGATATCGGTATGATGAAGGAGCCAGATACATCCGTTACCTCCGTTACCTCGACAGTGGACCACAGGGAATCGACGAAACTCGAAAAGAAGGAAGTCGTCTCCTCAGAGATATCCCGAGGTGATGAGAAAATAGTGAAACACGAGGAAAAGGCACAGGAATTAAAAGAGAAATTAAAGGAGTCGACAACGAAAACTGAAACACCGGAGGAAACTCTAGAGGACAAAACGAGCAAGAAGGAGAAATCCGATAAGAGATTAAGTCAGGAAATTTCTGTTACTATTGCTGAGGGAAAGCAAGTGATCGATGCATTGGCTTCTCAAATCACTACATCAATCAAAGACGAACAACGGATTAAATCTCTTGAGGATGACGAGGGAATTCTCATTGAGAAAGCCGAATCGAAGACATTCAAGGAGCACGAGATTGATACAGCTATTAAAATTGAAAAGGACGAGTCCCTCTCCAAAGAGGAAAAGGAAATCGATGCCTCTGATTTGGGTATGAGTCTTGAGGATGAATTGAAGGCCGCAGTTATTCGAGAGGAGTCTCGTGAAGAAGTTTCCCGTCACTTCGATACCCAGATGTACCCCTCGAGAGACACAACCGAAGACACTTCAAGGACTGACGATAGTCCGGAGACTCTTGAGGACCATCAGTTGAGAGTTGCACAGGAATACGAGGCGAGGAATATCGCTGAGGACCTGGTTCAGCAGATCGAGGAGGAGATCGTGAAGCGATCGGAGAGTTCGGATGGTTTGAAGCTAACGATGGACGAGATAAAACACCAGGAAGAGCGATATTCCGTCGAACCCGACGATTTCGACGAGCAGCTCGCTGACGATTTGACAAAAAAATTCGAACACATGATGAAACGGAAAGAGGACCTCCCAGAGAAGGACTCGACTCGTGGGAGTTTGAGTTACAGCGATGATTTCACGAAAGATGAAGAATCCACACCCCACGATAGAGATGGCAGCCTTGCCTCATCGTCATCACAAGCAAAAATGATGGATCGAGACATTACCATGAGTCCCAGCAGCATGTCCGATCAAATAGAACTGGAGGAATCCTTGGAATCTGAGAAACCAGACGGAGGGGTGGACACATTCATTGAATTACCTACGGAAGTAAAAGTCGCTGAAGAATACTACGAGGAACCAAAGGAAGAAGTCACCCCTATGCGATTTGAGGCGTACGAAAGCACAGGTGCCAGAGTTCTTGAAATCCTCGAACCAGATAATGATTATCCAACACGACAAGACTCGATCGATATATCATCCATGGAGCTTGACGAACCGCGACACTATCGCTCCGACGAGGAAGATCTGTCCCTCAACGACAAATATCTCAAGGACTTGGATTTTGGGAAACTCCACAAGAGCCCGGAAATGGAGTCCCTGGACAAGATCGGACAGGATCGTGACTTGACCTTCTCCCCTAGCACTGTCTCGGAGTCTTCCATGGTACATGAGCGCAGCTTGAGCTCTTCAATTCTTCCGAAAGGTGGAACCGATCTTGTAGAGAGTGAAGACGGTGGATTCTCGTCTATGGAGCCCGAAAAAACCGAAAAAACACCAGAGAAGGTCACGAAATTGGACACGGGGATAATCGATAAGAGTATAATCCCATCGATCATTTCTCCGAAGGTAAAAGTCGCAGAATTGGAAATCAAACCGACTGATTGGCTCATTGGAGACGAAAAAATCGAGGTCTCAGAGACTCTTCAGCCATCCCAGGCGTTCGATAAAGAGCTTGAGGAATACCAGACGAGCATGATCAAGCAACACAGCTTGACATCATCGATCGAGGGATCTGTTACTCGTTCTTCAGAGGATGTCAGTACAATTGATTCGGTAATTGATGGTTCACGAGCAAGAATTTTTGTTGACCCACCCAGTGAGATAGAAATCGATCAGGAACTGGTGGAAAACACACTGGAAATCAGCTGTCAGGAACTCGTTGACACCCTCCAACGGGAGTACGAATTAAAAACTCCGTCCGATGACAAGCCACCATTGACACCTCGTAGAACGTCTGAGAGCGATGGAGAGTTTGAATTTGTCGAAGACCAAGAAGACACAATGAAAAAAATTCAGAAGGCCTTGGATTTCGAGGAAAAGCCCCTTGACGTATCTGAAGTTGTAGAATCGTTGGAAATAACAGGTGCTGTGGCTGAATCGTCCACGAAGGAAACAACCACCGGAGATGATGTCAAATTGAAAGAAAAGAGTGAAGTCGAGGAGAAGGATATCGATACAAGTGAAGTGAAGGAGAAAAAAGAACAGAAGACGAAGAGACATGAAGAGATGAAGATGGAAGTTGCCCTGAAAGGTCTGAAGGAGTCGTTGGCGACGAAGAAACCCTCGACTGACGACTCTAAACGTCATCCAGAAAAGTCCGCCGATTCGAGAGATAAACAAGGCCACACTGGATCAAGTGACTCTAGCCCCTTCAAACGTAAGAAGGATCCAAACGTCGATCTCAGTGCTAGATACGCCATAACTGTCCTCGATCAGGTTGTCAGCAAAGAGATTGCCGAAGTGAAGGAGTCACTCGAAGCAGCGAAACAGGACTTGATAGAGGAATTAAGTGAAAATAGCGAGACAGTGTTTCAAATTAAAGATTCGCCATCGGAATTCCAATTCAAACTGGAACCAGAATCGATTCCAAACGATCTTCCATTCCTGTATAAAGCACCCTCTGTTGAGCAAGTGACTGATCCGGAGACTGTTTCCGCTGGATCACCAGTGGCTAAACCGAGAAGACAGGATACGCAGCCCGAGCAGGAATCACCTGAGAAGAAGTCCGTGGACAAAGATGAGTCGGATAAATCTAGTGAGATAACCGGAGATAAATCGGACTCTGCGGTCAAGGTGTCAATTTATAAAGACGCTGAGTCTTTAGAGGAATCCCATCCGATTGCCGCTTCCAGGTCGGGCTCAGATATCGAGAACAAAGATGATATTTCCTCTTTGTCAGTCCCACCACAGCCTGCACCACGTCGTCGACAAAAACCTATGAGGATATCCAAGAAAGGACACTCTGCAAGTGAAGCTGAATCGAGTTCTGGTGAAAGCAGTAATTATCAATCATGCGATTACGAAATCGGCTCGGGGAGTAGACCAAGTTCCTCGGACATTGAGGCCCTGCAATCAGCCGCTGGAATTCCCTCAGGCACAGCATCAGAATACGAAACTGCCATGATGTCAATCGATCATTCCTCCAGATCGCGTCCAACGTCCCAGGAATACCACAGCGCTGTCTCTACACTGAGCTCCAGAGAATCGATGAAATCCCTGAATTCTCTGAGTTCAGGACACCTTGGGAGTATCGACAGCACAAGTGAATTAACCGATACCCTAGTTGCTTCTGAATCCGAGATCGACGAGGGGAAGATCGGTGAGAATTTAGAACTACTTCTCGACGAAGAGCCAAAAGGATCTGATTCAGAAGAAAGTGAAATTCCACTTGACGATTCGTTCGATAAAACGAGCGAAGACCTACCCTGCAAGATGAAACGATCATCCGAGATGATATTCCAACAACAGATATCAGAAGACCAGGACTCTTCATCGATTCCAGAACCTCTTGGCTCGACAGAGGATACCAAAGTTACTTCCAGCATTCTAATCAGCGAAGACGACGACTTGAGAACCTCAACTCTGGATGCCATTTCCGAGCAGATCAGTGGAAAAGCCGAAATCGGTTCATCCTCACCTGAAATCCGCTTGAAATCGATCGAGGCACAATCAACCGGCGACGATATCGATTCGTCTGAATTAAAAATGAGTTCGTTAAGTGCAGCAGACGAGGTCGAGGCTCTCCTCCTGACGAAACGCTCAGTCCTTCAACAGGCAAGCATGTCGACATCGTCGACCTCCGGGATGTCCGTGGAAACAGTTATAGAACGTGAGAAACAAGACAGACATTCGCCGGATTCCGATTCCTTCGAGCTAGTAGATAAACCAGACATCATCGACGACTTTATTGTCATTGAAGAGGTGGGGAGAGAGGCCGAGGAGTTCGACGCCGAAGGAAAGAGTATATCTATTAGTACCAAACCAATGGCAACGATAAAGAAATTTGATCGTGACGTGGAAAACCTGATAACGGACACTGATAAGGATGAGGCAGGTTCCCAAGTGTCACGGAATAATGAGCTATTTGATTTTGAGTCAGAAGAGAGTCCTCCACAGGCTTCCAATGACGATCAATACTCGCAATCCTATTCTGACGAAGAGCAGGATAACAAGAAGTGGATGGAGATGCAATTCGCGGCTGATCCGAGGGGATACGAAGTGGAGTACGACAGAGGTCCCCTCGAAGACATAAAAGAGGAGGAAATCACTGATTTCGAGGCTGGTAGCAGTCGATTTGGAAGTTTAGGAAGTCACAAAGGTTCACTGGGTTCCAGTGGAAGTATGAAGGGTAGCCTCGGAGCTGAATACGACGTACTAGCCGGTAGGAAAACATTCTCCAAATCGATTGAGCACGATAACATCTCCATGAGCTCCCTCCAGGAGTTTGAGAACCTTGAGAGCGCTGTTCAGGGGGAACTGGGAAAGAAGTTCGCTTGTGGCTCTCAAGATTCTGTTAATAACGGAAGTCTTCCAAGGAGATACATTACAAGTCGCTCGGGTCACGGTGATGACGTCTCAGTCTCGTCCCTGAAGGACTTCGAGGGGCTCGAGAGAGCTTGTCGTGACGCTCACATGATTGAACTCAGAGCGAAGGAAGAGGAGGATCTTCTGGAACACGAGAGCCCTGAGAATCGTTACAGATTGGAAAATCTTCCAAAGCCGAAACCAACGGAGAGCAGTGCCACGGGTTCCTTCAATCCAAGCACTTCCGGATCCGATGACTATGAGAAAAGAATAATGGAGATTGATGAGATCATCAGAATTGCTCAAGCTAATGTTGAGAAATTCGATCGACAGGACGACACAACTGAGGATATTTCTCAAATCGAAGCGGAAAAGATCGAGGGAGCTTTAACACTTCCCCCAGAGGTGGAAGATACCACAAAGGTAAAAGAGGGGAATGTTATGGAGACTAGCACAGACTCTCTAGAGCTCGAGGGTGATGCAGAGAAAAAGGACAACCTCATGTGCAGGAGCTCAGATTCTCTAGAGATGAAGACTACAGTCGATTTCCCATCCCTTAGTTATTCAGATTCGTTGAATAATGTTAGGGATGTGAAGGAATCGGGATCGTCTGTGGAACAGTTCTGTAATACCAGGAGGATATCATCCGATTCACTTGAGATGCCGGTGCTCGAGCACCCTGAGCACGATCCAAGCGCAACCGAGGGAAGCGGAAGCTTTCAAATGAGAAGTGAAGATTCATTTGACGTAAAAATCACCAAAAATGGAAAGACTACATTTCCGACCACGACTGATGCGTAAAAATAGATGGGTAAGTTTATTTTTCATAACGAGTCACTTAAATCACTCGAAAAGCTAGACAAGTAATATATTTCAAGATGTATACCAGAAATTTTGTGTTTCAGGGGAAACAGCCGAGTTTCGAGGCGATCATGAAAAACTATGATATAATGTGAAGCTTTACATGTGTGGAAGCTCGTGGAAAATTATCCCGAGACGATGGTATTTGCGGGGCTTGTGCATTTGTGAAACAAATAGGATTTTATTGTACCGTTATTAATTTCAAAATGGTCGAGACTCGTTACGAGACGACAAATCACGAGAGAAAAATTTAATGCTTGAAGAAATACGGGACATGATAAAAAAGAATAATAATTGACTAAAATTGTTGAGTAAATGTGCTAAGGATGCGAGTGCAACTGATAACTCTATAAACTGCATCCATTCAGGTATTCTTCATAATAATTTACTTCGAGAATATCGATGTTCTAGAAAAAAAGACGACGGAAAGCCACAAAAAAAAATTAATCAATCTTTTGCTTGACTGTTTTAGACTTTTTACACGCATTACGTTGCAATTTGTATATTGGATATTTTAATTAATCAATAACGAAGCAATTCAAAGATATACGTTCACTTTGTACTATACGTGAAGTAACAGTGCTGTACTTAAACCCTATCGTGGCATCGTTTTTGTAAAACAATTTCAATCTTGATATGCCTTTTTAATGAAAAAAAAATCCGGAGAAAGTGGTGAGAAAACAATGGAAACATACTCATTTTTATCTTAACAACTAAGTGAATTAAAGTATTATACAATTAAAAACAGTCCAATGTTATTTAAAACCAATGACATCAGTTCTCCCATCATATTTACTTAATATCACTCGCTACGATCGTAAACTGAATTTATTCAGTTAGCAAATTCGAGAACGAGAGATATTAATTTTTCGACTTTATTTTGCGCGGAGGTAGTAGAGTGGGGAAATCGAGATAAACGCGAAAAAAGAAATTGATTATAACGGGATTCCACTGTAAATCAAAATTTATCAACAGCTTAAGAAATTATTACATCACTGAATCAATACTCAAGCCCCAATAATCACGCCACGTGGATTAGAATTCTTGGATTGTACGGCTGCTCCATTCCATCTTTCCTTATATCTGAAATTCAATTAAGAAATAAGTCCAAGGCCCACAAGACACTCGACATCTACATAATGTGAATACAAACAAACCAAAGAAAAATCGACGATACGTGATGTGAAAGCTGCGTGCATACCTAATCCTCCGATTCTCAAATAATTCCACCGAATCCTAAACTCTCTCAGACAATTTCTTCATTCGACAGTCCCTAATTATCCTGATGATCCAGACGCCGCAGGACAAAAGGTAGACAATAACAAAGACTTTGAATGGTACTTTGGTCTCATTGAAGTCATCCCTGTTGATGATCAACTGAATGATGCACCTTGAGAGCTCAATAAGCTCTGCATATTTGTACTTGTCGAACAATAAACCGATGCTCGTCAGTGCCAATATATTATTCATGATTAATGTACTTTGGTTGAATATATTGCAGTCCTAAAAGACAATCCTCAATGACTACCATAAATATTTCCCTTTTCTTTAATCGAGAATCACTCACTTGTTTGTCACCATAAATCTGACAATGCACGTAGAAAACGACGATAAAATGAAGAAGAATATAAATCCTGAGCCACAGGGATACCTGACGATCATATTTTATTCTTGAGGTCACATTAACTTTGTACTCATCAAGGCCAAGTCTCGGAGCACCTGGAAACCAACTCGGTCCTTTCCAGATTCCCGCCAATTTATTGCCAAGATTCCTCATCTTCAAGCTCTTAACGAACATTGATTTTGTATAGAATGTCTGAAGATAAAGAGGATTAAATGTTCGAGGACTGACTACGAGGCCGTAGATTATTTCATCCTTCTTTTTTTCCACAGTAAATGTGCCAAATAGACGATCCCAGATTATAAGAACACCTCCGTAATTTTTGTCGAGACAATACAAATTGCATCCTAGAGGAAAAAATCAATCAGTCAAATCAAATCAAACTAATTAAGAGATTGTAGATCAATACAATCTACAATTGTCGATATTTTGATAATTCTGAGAAACAATTCATCTTCCCCCTGACAGGTTCTTTTTTTGTGGAGTATTCTCTAGTTCAATGTACCCCAGAAAACTGCCAGCTAAATGCGTCTTGGCAATTCAACAAATATCCTCAACCCGTCGAGAGAGAAAGCCAAAACAAAACAAAATTTCTTAGACAACAATAAAAATACCATGATGCACCCGATGATGCTTGGGAGTATTGAAAACGAGCTCGAGAGGCCCGAGGTCATCGATTACAGTTGTATGAATCCATAATTGATAGATAAGATTGAATTGGTGATGGGCTATGAAGTGGGACGGTGGTATGAAGACAGCCATGGGTAAGTAGAACATCTGTAAAACAAGATAATAATAATGCCTCTTCTTCCTCCCTTATGAAAGTTTTTTTTTCATCGAATCCGGTGATTGAATAACATTTGGAGGTATTGATAACGTGTAACATGAGTTGTTGTTCACTCACGAAGCTGCACCACTGTTGCAAGACAGATTGCCGCAGTCCAACCACAAGATTGAATTCCTCACTGCTGTGATGAACTTGATGCTGAGCCCACAAGAAGTGAATTTCTGAATAAATTAAAATTCATTTTTATCACTCTGATAACTCTATTTCCCTTCAGAATCCTCTTAAAATCTCCACTATGCAATTCGATTGAGAAGAAAAAAATTTATGAAATTCCAGGAAGAACTTTTAAAGACAAACTATTCACCATGATTAGCTCGATGAACCCAATAATAGCAAAAATCCACCCCTAGAGCTGTAAAATACCACGTCCACAAGGAATTCCATGGCAAAATCTCTATCCGAAAGTTCTCATAAATCTTGATATATAGAAAGTACTCGGCCCCGCGAAAAAATATCCTGCAAGAGAAATACAAAATGTTTTCTTCACGTGGATGTAGAGTTTCACGAGGATGCGGGATTGATATAGAATTACCTAAGCTTACCGTCCAGACTCTGGTATAATCCAGTTGGAGAGCGACGTAATGTGATCATTTAATCGAAAATTACTCCGTTTTTTTGATAGAAGAATTATCTGCTCGAGAATAATCAGTACAAAAAACGAGGGCCAGACCTAAAAAAATGTACTCTTGCAATTTCACTGTGCGATTTACTTTGCAATTTTAATTGCTACTCGACAAGAAGACCAATTACACCAATTGATTGTTTGAATTTAAATAATTTATTTCTCAATGAAGAAATGAATTTTAATTAGAAATTCGTGAATATTCGAAATTTTTAAACTGTCAATTAGTCTTCATGTAATAACTATGATTAATTTAATTTAAAAAATTGAACTCGCTAAAAAAATGTAATTACCTCGGTCTGATAATCAGGCACTTGTTCAACAAATTCAAAACTCGACTCATACGGATTAACAATATACCACAATTTGCCGGCATGTCTTAATTGTTGAAAGTATCCAACTGATTTTTGCCGTGTATTATTCATGACTACTCAATACTAAGTTCGTTAATGTCGATTAAGAAGTGCGTACATACGCGCCAACGCTGCCACTGAGTCTCCCTGTGGTGGCGTTACGATAAGAAACAACAAAAAGAGAATAAAAAACAATATAAAGAGACGAGATCGGAATGAAAAAACTTCATCACAACCATCTGCCCTACAACTCACTGTCTTTTAACTGTTCAACTGCATCGCATGCATTAATTACACAATTACATAATCATTTGGCGCACGTGAGTTCACGCACAATCAACGAATGAATCTAATGCTAATTATTCATACAGCGGATATTTTTATCAATCTCCAATGAACAATTATCATTATCGCACCTGTCAATTTCTCAAGAAAGTTTTATGGAGTGGATTTTTATTTGGTTTGAAGAGTTTACGACATAAAATTAAAATTATTATTCAGTTATCGGTCTAATAATCAATAATATGATTAAATTCCATTCTTCGCGGTTGATATCGAACGGATTATTGGGAAATTGACGGGATCATCGATTGAAATTTCAAAACAAAACGACAATTGATAAAGTTGCGATTTTACATGTGATTGAGTTGTTTAATTTTTTTTTGTTTGCGCTTTATTTATGGTCGAGAGATGTGTCTATTTTTATCGTGTATTATCGGTCGAATGATTCAAGGACGTTGCAAATACGCGGGTATATATATTACCGGCAAGGTAGATCCCAAAAATATCCTCTGAATTTTTTATGTGCCGATGTGCATTTGTGTGTTTATGCACTCCCCACGTGTTGTCAAAGTGCTTGAGTGAAAATCATTAAACACGTACAAAAAAAAATTGGGAATCTCAAGAATAATTGTGTGAACATTGAGGTACGTTGACAAAATTATTTCCAATTTTTAAAATAATCTTCATTATTTATTCTCCACGTTGGAGGGAATAATCCGAAAGAGTGAGGTTAAACCTCAAAAAATAAATCATGAAACCGTAATTGATAGTAAATAAAATGGGATGGGCGGATAATTTATAACGAATTCTTCTCAACTAATTAATTATTCATGTTCCAGTAATTGTTATAATTTCACAATGAAATTGAAAAAATCGCTGAAGCCAAAAAAGGCCCAGAAGGTGTTGAAAAAAGCGAAGAAAGTAAAGAAAGACTTGAGTGAAGTCACAACAGACGAATTCCTCAGTCAAGATTTCTCAGCTGAGGAATCCGAAAGCGATCAAGACGCTGTAAAATCCGAGAATTCCGATTCTGAAACTGAGCTGGACCCAAAGTCCCACAAGAAGTCCCTGCAGAAATTGCAAGAGACAGATCCAGAGTTCTACGCGTTTCTCAAGCAGAACGACAAGAAACTGTTGAATTTCGATGTGTCAGATCAAGAGGAATCCGATGAAGACGAGGACAAGGTACACGTACCAAACGAGAGCCTTGAAGTGGCAAGTGACGAAGACGATTACGAGCCAGAGGAAGCAGCGGAGGAAAAATCATCAGGTGGACCGGTTAAAGTCACTCTGAAATTATTGAAAACCTGGCAAGAGGCGATCCAGCGGGACAAGTCATCGAGAACGATAAAAAATATTGTCGAGGCATTTCACGCTGCCCTTTTGACAGTAGCAGACCCAGACGGTCCCAAAAGTATTCGATACAAAGTCGAAGGAAGTTCTGTATTTAATGGAGTCGTTCAACTTTGCATTCTCCATCTGCCCAATGCCTTCAAGAAATTCCTGAAGATCACTAAATCAAAATTCGAGGCCCACAAGTCCAAGAGATTCTCCAAGATTAAAGGAACCCTCAAGTCATATTTATCCGATTTACTCAGGGTGAGCTTTAACAATGAAAAATTAATTCAATAGAAATGAAATAATGATGATGAATTTTACCGTGTGAAAAGCGAAAATATATTAACTAAATTGACTTGTTGTTGTTTGCTTCGCGCTGGTGAATTGTTTTGACGTTTTGTATTCTGGGTCGAGTCTAAATTCAATTTTATGAACGTTCGGTTTTAGATTCTGCAGAATGTTACGTCATCGGATATTCTTACGGTGCTGTTGAAGCACCTGCACCAGATGGTACCCTACACCCAGTCATTTTCATCATTGAGTAAACCTCTGATGAAAATATTGATGAAATTCTGGTCATCCGGAGAGGAGACCGTCAGAGTTGTCGCTTTCTTGAGTATTTTGCAAATTGCCATTAACAGGAATGACGCGACTCGCGAGACTCTAATGAAAGTAATAAATATTTAATTTACTCTTTGCAATAATAAATGATAAATCCGTGGTGATATAAATTTGGATTTGAATTTGCAGACGATGTACATGAAATACGTTGAAAATTCAAAATTCGTATCAGAAAGTACATCAGCAAGTATAAACTTCATGAGACACTCGTTAGCTGAGATTTATCTACTCGATCATAATCTAGCCTACACCCATGCATTTTTGTACGTTCGCCAACTCGCAATACATCTGAGGAATGCTGTTACGTTGAAGAAGAAGGTAATGTCCTCTTGAATCAGATCGATTGTACCCACCAATTGAATAATGAATCATAATCAACTGATACCCGGAAAAATAATTCCTACCAATGTATTCCCCTAGGAAAATTTTCAAGCGGTTTACAACTGGCAGTACATCAACTCCCTCAGATTCTGGTGTGAATTAGTCACTTCGTGCAGCAGTCAATCAATGCTGAAATCCCTCCTGTACCCATTGGTACAGATAATCAATGGTACAATAACATTAATTCCAACTGCCCAATTCTATCCACTAAGATTTCACTGCTGTCAAATGTTAATTAACATCTCTAAGGACACCGGTGTATTTATTCCAGTTCTACCGTATTTACTAGAGGTGAGGATTCATCGGCAACTAATTAATTGTAATTGCGATGGTTACGATTCTATCAGAATAACGTAATCGATTTTACTATTGCAGGTATTGACGTCCTATGATTTCAACAAGAAACACAGATCAGTGACAATGAAACCGATATCATTTCTGTGTTTATTGAGAATGTCAAAAGCCCAGTTGCAAGAGAATGGATTCAAAAATAGTGTAATTGATAATATCCATCAACTGATCCTAGAGTGTGCAGCAAAGGACAGCCACACGATAAGCTTTCCCGATATGTATGTCTTCTGTATCATCCAGGTAAATATCAAATGAATGGATAAAAAAATGGATTCCATACTTTCCCAAACAAATTAATAGGAAGTAACTGAAAAAACTTTTCTTCCCAACCTAATTTTCCAGCTGAAGTCTTTCCTGAAGAAATGCAAAGTCGCCAATTTCTGCAAAAAAATAAAGCACCTACTCGATAAAATTCAGGAGAATCGCCAATTCATAGAGAATGAGAGAAACAAGATAATCGTCGACCTGAGCGACATGCAGGCAATAAAAAATTGGGAGAATACAATAAAAAACAAGGGGACTCCTCTGTCAAAGTTCTACGAATCCTGGTACACCCTGCACCAGTCCCAAAACCTCAAGATGTTGACTCAAAATGACGAGAACTTCAACGTGCCCACCCTGAAGAGGAACAAGAGAAAGCAGAATGATTTCGATCATGACAGTGACCTCGACATGCCAGTGGAGGAGATGAATAAACTCCTGAAGAAACAGGAGGAGAAAAAAATGAAGAAGAAGAAACAGAGAATCCCTTCCAAAGTATCCAATGAGGATCTCCCCACAGATAATAACGACATTGTTACGGATACAAATGTGGATGACTGGAATTAACTAATTAAATTCTCACTCCAGTGTACGTCAGATTGAAATATAATTATTTGGTTTTTACGACAGGCTTTCAATTGATTCGTTACGTTTTGATGTCATTATCAATTAGAAAACGATAAATCACACCGATTATTTCCCCACACAAATCTTCAACCCATGCAAAACAGAATCAACTCCCAACCAATCCTAAGGTGTCGCTCCTGGTCGTCTATTTTTACCCTTTTTCACGATCCAAACCAGCTCGTGGAAGTTAGTAGCTAACGGCTGGGCCTATTATAAAGCCACAATTCTTCGTGTTGTAATTAGCGGTATGTAAAAGTGACTGAGAACAATTGAGCACTTTAAAATATATTGATAGAGACGGAAAATAATCATTCAAAATAAAAACGTACGTGGCTAATTTTATTCTTGTCTCTCGCTGAATTTCTTTAATTCGAGTGGATATTTTTTTTTCGGTGAATATTTATATTATCATCATGAAAAAGGCAAAATACCACTCCTCAGTTAGGAATTGAATAATCCGATTTCTTTCATTTCTTCCCCTCAAATTAGTACAATTTTGCGTTTTTAATGGAGAGAAATTGAATTAATAGGGAATTGAAGAAAGTGTGGTGTTTTCCTGGTGTCATCTGTGGTTAATTGCAAATTAAAAAGGAGGCGAAATAAAAAAATAGTAAGATAATAAGTCATTCCAAATGATGGATGGGATGGAAAAAAAGAGAATAATTTCAAGTTTTTCCCGCCACTGAATAACCGGGAAACCTTCGTGTGCATGAAAAGCCGACGTGCCAAAGTATATGCTGAATCTTCAGAATTATTTAGAAAGATTCAGAAATCCGGAGGTGGTTGTGTGTTACGCATCGTTCAACGGTTTATCGCAGTGTCACTTAAACCTTGTGTTGAATTTACTTGTCTATTTTAATTTTCCACTTAACAATTGCTATTGCATAAAAATTCTGTGACCACCCGTACTTGTTGGGTTTATTTACGAGATACACAAACCATGAGGAGAGCATCGTTTGATAAGTAATCTCTCCCCCAATAAAAATTTTCATCTCTCCAAATTTACATGTGTCCCCCAAAAATAATAATCCATCCCATAAACCATTACCTGACAATAATATCCGGAAAAACAAGACGCAACAAAACGCGAGGCCGTTTTCTCGGAAAAAAACAACACAAAGTCGGCATAAAATTTATTTTTATCCCTGTCGTTTAGTGAAAGTTCAGTAGCCTTCAGAACAAAAAAGCTTTCTGATGATAATTTCCATAATTTTTTAAAGAATAATAACAGTAAAAAATAGCCGTTCAGGTAATTAAGTGTATTGGTGTGCGCAAGATTTAAATTTCCACCGAGAATATCTAACTTCTAGTGATTGATTGAATTGAGAAGTGGTGGCAGGTGTAGACCTCACGGATAACGTGGAAAATAAAAAAATTCAGCGTGTGTATACACCATCAAACATAACGGAGAGACAAGAAATTGGTGGTTGAAAATAACTGCGGAAAATCCCCGAAGATAAACAGAAGGCACTCTAGTCTTTGAGAAATCCCCTTTCCCCGTTGTACCACGATTGAATTGAAGACCCGGAGAACTAAATTTATTGCACCTCTCGATTCGCAAAGAGACGACACGCCTCCCCCTCGAATTAATAAAAATTTTTGCCAGATGACAGACAGCTCTTGGCAGATACACGAGATAATAACCGGTGTTTTCACATTATTTCAAGGATTATTGGTTCGAGGACGGTTTGATCTCGATTTTGAAATGGTTTTAGATCGTCGTAGGCAGCATCCACTGGGGTTTACTTTAAAACGTATTACGTTACAACGGTGGTAGATAAATTTAGCGTTTTCTTTCTCACAGTTATAGGATTGGTCGTTGGTATAGTGTCCCATGCCAATGCCGCAACGCGGAATTAATTGGCGTCTTGGATGGCAACCAATTCGTGTTCATGTTTCCCTCTTGTCCCTTCCAATTGAATTTTTTCTTTTTTATTTAACAGTGCCATGTTTTGTTGAAGCTATTGGCTAGACCGAGCAATTGTTTGGCACGGATTAGCGAGTCAATTCTCATGATGCTTTTAGATCGTGGAAAATACTAAAAAGCTCATTCTCTCGATGCAATAATTCCAAATTATTATCTCGTTATTTTTCATTTACTTGAAGACAATTGAGCACAAAGCGAAGTAACGAAAATTCGAGCTACCAGTACCGAGTATCCGACAACTTGAAAAATGTTGAAATAAAACGACTGAATTATCAGAATTTGGATCGAATCAGTCAATTACAGAGGAGTACCTCTGCTGACAATGTTGTCATAAGAACGCGGGGATTTAAACCATCAGATAGACACGATCCTTCCAAGAGACTATTTCTCGAACAATTGTCTACGAAAATCCTACACTTCGACATGGTGAGTTGTCGATCCATGAAAAATTTGCTTCATCGCTTTGGGAGTTGCCGTCAGAGGAAATTTCGCTCGCATCGCTTTAATCACACGACAAGAAATTTATTCTAAAAATTACCCTATTATTTGTTGGGTCAATTTTTAAAATACATTTCCTTTCTTCTTCCTTTTAATCGAATAATGTTTCCACTCAGGAAAGCGGCGACAAGGTACCGACACCCATCAGCTTGGAAAAATTACTTACACCTGCTATGGACTGCTCCGAAATACTTCAAACGAAAAGTACGTTAGCCTGATTACTGTTTCGAAAATTCACACCTCATAACATAATGGTATAATTAATAAAATTTGTTTACTAAAGAAAAAATGTACGCATCGTCATGTTTCTACGCGCCAACCCATCCAACAGTGGAGGATCAAGTTGAGCTCGCACGACGGATTTCCTATTCGTTGAGTGACGCTAAAAATATGAAGAGCAAAGGCCAATCCATGTACGTGAATAGAAAGAAGAGATCGGTTAAATGGATTCACGATGGAAATGGTAAAAATTTCTCCAACAATCAAGCAGCCCGCAAAATATTCCCTCCACGTATCTGAATTAATCTTTGCCTTAAATTTTTGTTTTAGGAGCTGAAGCCGACGAAGAGCCTCAACAACCGATGCACAAGGTACAATGTCCCCCTATGCCCTAATAAATCCCTCATTGATTAATAATTTCTGAATTTAGGATAAAGTCCCCCTGAAATGCATGATGAATCCAAACGGCAAAGTCCTGGACATTCATTGCATCCAAGCACTAGGTGAGGAGCCAAACATCGGTACCAGTCCCATAAACGCAGACAAATTATTTGACATCGTTCGTGATTTGAATAATCAGAAGGGACGAGGTAATTCTAGCATTTACCCATCGTAATCCCGTTATTTGATGAAAGAAACTATTTCAGGAGCCGAAATATTCGCCAAACGGAGGAAAAGATCGGAGAAATGGGTTGTTGACAAGGACCAGCCCTCGACTCCAACCCAGAATTACTCAAAAGCACCTACATACCCAAGCAAAGTGGTAAAAACAATTATTTTCCACCCAATAATTTCCCAAATACTTCTAATAAAAATGTACGAAAAAATAACTGCAGGATTACGGTGCAAACGAAAACTCCAAGTTCTCCAATATCACCCCGTTATCGCCAAACCCCCCACCCCAGAGTGATTCGAAGCCGTTTTTCAACCCATTCACGATGGATTTATCATTGAACAATGGAACCCCTCCATCAGGTGAGAAAGACATTATAATCTTTAATGAAAATCACTTGCATTATAATTAAATTGGCTTGAGCTGCTTTCCCCTAACCGCTGCTTTGCCCCTTACAAACCGCTTCTACAGGCATCAACCTAAGATACGAGGAGCCCCACAAATGCAAACCTGAGATTAAAAAAATTTACTTGCGAGAAGTGGCAGTGGGTACCGAGCAAGACTACCCCATGACCGGTCCCAACCATCGTCACCAAAATGGTGCGATGTCAGTGGAAAAATCTCGAAGAATGTCCTTCGAGCCCGAGCGATACGAATCGCCCCAGCAAGTCAAGTCCCATCGCAAACAAAATATGCAAAATCCCCAGAATTACCCGAAACACCCCCAAAATTACTCCCATTACTTGAAATCACAGCCAATCCGCGATAATCAATACGCGAGTCATCAAAACGGTTATCAAAATGGTCATCAAAGGGCTCCACCGATATTCCCTGAGGAAGACGAGACCGATTACACCCCAGTCCCTGTAAAACAACTGATTCAGGAATTTGAGAAGACCTGCAGACCGATTCTACAGTACAAACAGTTGAGCCCAAAAGTCGCTCCAGTGATGCATCAACCTCCACTGGAGGACATATCCCGATTTTTCGATGGGCCTCGAGCTCAAAACAAGTACGAGGATCCGCGAGACGGTGGAAAATACGCGAATAATAACGGCCGAGCTCATCCGACCGCGAATGGTAAAGTTCCGAATTCTCACGGCAATAAGATGAATGGAAACTCTCGCGAATCTAATCACAACGAATACGCGAGGGGATATCAAGGTGCAATGGTCCCGAGATATGAGTACGACTCGACCGACGACGAGATCGACGACTCCTTCGGTGATTCCAGTTCATCCGAAAATTGTGAGGACTACTATGGACCGAGTCCTGGATTTTCCAGTGGCAATCGAGTATCCGCAATGAGTGATTACGATTATCGCCGCCAAATGTTCGACTGCGCAACTGAACAATTGTTCGATTCCCCTGTGTTCTCGACAATTGATGAAAAATTTGTGGACACCGAGGCACCACTCGGGGCTGAAGCCAAAGCCCTCAATTTCGCAATGATAGCCTCCCAGGAGGACATTATGGAGCAGATAAAACAGCTGAGAAGAACTCCTGTTGTGGAGAATCTTGTTCCGGGGCCATCCCCTGATCGCAGTAAATTGGGAGATTTTATCCCAGAGCTAGGCAAGTCTTTGCTTTCGCTGCATATTTTCTATGGCATTTTCCAGTTATCATTTTTTGTAATCATAAGTAGATCTTCCTGGAAATTCCAGTGAAGAAAAAATTTCCAGGACTTCTACTGGAAGTTTCAGGATAAAATTTATCGCGGGGAAGTTTTGATGGTTTTTTTTTTAATTGCAGCAACGAAAATGCTGGAGAGCACCTACAACGGCCCGAAGATCTCCAGCTATCAGGCCCTAACGAATTACAACACTGCACCCCGGGGCTGGGACCAATCCCAAGCTGTTTATCGTCCAATTACCTTCCGCAAACCTCAGGAACCTATTGCCTACTCAGACTTCTGATCAGGATTCATCTCATCCATTTGTCGATAAAAAAATCCCCCGCTATCCAAAAGCTTCGGTATGTTCTCCTCATTGATGAAATTGATTAAATCATTTAATCAACAATATCCTCGTATTTTGATTCCCTATATCGCATGTTTATTGACATTGGCTATCCTCATTCCTACCCGTGAAGAAATTTAGGGCTAATTATAGAGGAATATCGAGAGAAACGTCGACTAATCAAATTGGCTTTTGCAGAAAATTAAACAGCCAATTTTTCAGCAACTTGTAAAAATTTCTCAATCTCATTTGGAAACCGGAAATATGTTGTCCTTCAGCTTGATATACCCCCAATTGAAATGCTTTGGAAGAAGTTGGAATTTTCTCTCTTCTGTCTGTATTATTATGTATCAATAAATGTTGTTTTCGTAATGATGAATATTTATTTCCAAATTCTCCCAGATTTTTTCAGAAAATAATGAAGTATTCTCTCCATCAATATTTTCTGTTCCCTATTGAATTGGTTCAAATGGAATTCACTCACCGGGTTGGATGAAAACAACAGCTCCGTTTTCATCTCGCGTAACCACCTTCATCGGCTAATCCATTTGTACGAGGGCACATTTATCACTGAATAAGCACTAATCGAACAAATCAACCAAGACACTTCACAAAATCACTTTCACAGCACCACAAGCACAAAGAACAGATATGCAACCGCCCCCACTTTCATTCTCCCGCCATTTGAAAACCTCCCCCATTTTAAGATGACGCAGTAATTTCTCATCTTGCAATTTACCTCCAAATAAACACAAATTAAACAAATGCATGACTCCAAATTAATTAAACAACCCAACGAATAAAGAAACTTAACGAATCACTTCACCGGCAGCCCGAAAACAAATGACGCGCAGCAACACGCATTGCTCCATTGTCTCCCTCCCCCACTCCAAGACAAAAATATCCTTTGTCATATTTATCCCCGAATAAATGCAGATTAAATAAAACAAATAAATTCATAATAAATAAATTCATAATAAATAAATTTGTAATAAATAATCAGTATATAACGTAACCTCACAAATAATTTTACCGGCACCCCGAACACAAAGAACAAAGAAGCAATCGCCAACCGCCCCCACTTTCGTTATCCCGCCATTTGAAAACCTCCCCCACTTTAAGATGA